CATCATTGCCTTGCCTCCAGCTCGAAGTTTCATTTTTTTTTGTCTTGCGAAACATTCGCAAGATGCCAAAGAGATCCTCAGCCAATGGCAATTTGGAAGATGGTGATGCCAAGTTTGCTCGCTCATGCCCATGGGCCCATAAGATTTTGCAAGCTGCTTTGTTACTTGGCTGATCTCGGCAGTGACACCGTCTTCAAGACTGTCAAAATCATATCGCTGAAGCATCGTCCTTTCCAGAACCTTGCCAAACATGTAGTATGTTATATAGCTCTGCCGTCAGCTAGTCTCCCTGAGGGCATTCAACCTAGAGGGGGACGAGCACCCTGTGAAGTACGTCATGGAAAAGCTCTCAGATGGGATCTACGAGCCAATTCTGAATTGGTTGAACCAAGACATCTTGAACACCCCTGACACTGCCATGCCAAACCCGCAGTCGATGACACTTCCCGAAGCTTGGCAAGAAATCTTGCACATGATCACTGATTGGTTCATGATACCAGCTGAAAACAACAAGTATCGGTTTCCAACTGGTCAGTCGCTAAGTCTTTTAAAGTTTGGACACCATCAGTCATGCTTCAGGATGAGCACAAGGCGACATGTGTCTTACCAGTGCTTTGCCTGTGGTATGCGATGCCTTCAGATGGGCTCCCGCACATGCAGAGCTGGATTGGCACTGCAGAGTCGATTTTGAAGGGCGGCTTCGAAAGCACGAGAGAACCGATTGAGGTGAAGGTAGAGGTCGTGTCCAACAAAAAACAAGCATTGTCTTCTTAAAAGCCAGTCGGTAATACTCCCCCCAAGAGTAGATAGCTCAGAATCTTGAGTTGCGCCATCTATGTCAAAAAAAAGTTGCTTCAACATCGAATCAAGCTGCTTTTTTGGGACATAGATGGCTCAACTCCCACTCATTCGCCAAAATCTGGCTGGGAATGCCCACATAGATGGCGCACCTCCCTCATATCTGGCCCGGACATGACCCCAAAACAGCGTGTTCTTTTGGGCGCTGATTTAGGGCGTTAAATGAACATGTTTTTTCGCCAAACATGGGCTCAACATAGGCTCAACATAGAAGGCTATGTTGGGCCACTTGGGGCTCTGTTGGCCCTCTTGGCGGCTTTCGGGCCTAAAATTTCAACCCCAACGGAAGCATGGTTCCGTTGAGGTTGAATTTTGGGTCGGTTTTGGGCTTATGTTGGGCCATTTGGAGGCTATGTTGGGCCTCTGTTGGGCCATTTTAGGGCTATGTTGGGCTCTGTTGGCGGCTTTCGGACCTAGAATTTCAACCCCAACGGAAGCATGGTTCCGTTGAGGTTGAATTTTGGGTCGGTTTTGGGCTTATGTTGGGCCATTTGGAAGCTATGTTGGGCCTCTGTTGGGCCATTTTAGGGCTATGTTGGGCTCTGTTGGCGGCTTTCGGACCTAGAATTTCAACGGAAGTATGGTTCCGTTGAAGTTGAATTTTGGGTCGGTTTTGGGCTTATGTTGGGCCATTTGGAGGCTATGTTGGGCCTCTGTTGGGCCATTTTAGGGCTATGTTGGGCTCTGTTGGCGGCTTTCGGACCTAAAATTTCAATCCCAACGGAAGCATGGCTCCGTTGAGGTTGAATTTTGGGTCGGTTTCGGGCTCAAATAGGTTCAAAACGAGTTGCGCCATCTACCTTCTCATTTTAATGTATGGTGATTTTTTTCAATTGGCGGAATTTGTTTTATGTTCCAGCTAAAATAGCGCCGTTTTCTTTCTCACCGCACGGTGCCATCTTATGGGTATTTTGGTTTTGGAGTTGTTCCATCTACTTTTAGGGGGGTATAATTAAAATCAATGGAATTCTCCTCACCGCACATTCATATTCCCTGCTCTCATCTTTTTACTGGTTCCACACTTTGAAGAATTAATAGCACAGACTTGGTTAGCATCAAGACCAAGCTTGTTTATCACTTTTCTTCAACAAATTTTCAAGAGAATGCCATATGAACCCTGCAAGGCGAATGGATCCAGGAATGGATTGGCTATTGCCACCGTGACGAAAGGTTTCGGCAGATTGAGCGTTGTTTTCTTCGCCATCCTTTTCACATACTATGAGTTGAAGGATGCCCTCTCCAGAGGCGAGCTTGCTGATCTCCGAAGGCTGGACAAAGGGCAAGCAGTGAACATCTTGTCCCTAGTTTATATCTCATAAAATTTGATGCCGAAAAGGTATTGCTGTCCACACCCAAATTTTTGGTGAATCATCAATGGGCTACTAAGCTCCCTCCAGTGGAAAAAAACTGGCAGCGCAACGGATTCATCAGTGACAGAACTGAGTACACTTGGGCTTCAATCAGAAACTGAAACTTTCCATGCAATATTGGTTTCAAAACCTTTTACCGCAGAATATCGCAGACATATGCACCTTTTACCGCAGAATATCGCAGATATCTGCAGGCTTACAAAATGTGTTTTGGACCTTATGCAACCTCTAAAATGGGCAGCCAAGACAATCTGGCATCGTCCTTTGGGGATCCTAAAAACAAAATTCCAAAGGGTGATGGTCCGGTCGGGAACGTCGTCCCCTGACAAGTGGACAAGTTACCACAGCGAGGTATTTTACAGTCCTGCAATCCTCAAACCTGGTATCCCCATAGCCCAGAGGAATATCACACAGCAATTTGTCATTAGAATCAGGTTCTGGGATATTATGGCAGAGTCTTACCCATGGTTTTCAGGGCTCCAGGGGGTGATGGTCCGGGTGGGACCATCGTCCTTTGAAATTTGTTTTTTTGAACACCCAGGGGGTGACAGCAGAATATCCACAAGACATTCTCGGATCACTGGAAAACTTGAAAAAATTGTTGCAACTTGCCAGAATATAATCTGCCAGATCGTACATTCCAACAAATGACAACGGATATTATGCCATAATATCACAATATATTATGCCATAATATCACACTATATTATGCCATAATATCACAGCATAATAAATGATATTATGCCATCGTATCATACTGATATTCTGCCAGGGTATCTCTTGACTAACAAATGACAGGGGGTGATGGTCCGGGCGAAACCATCGTCCTTTTGAATGTGTCCAAACCATTGTTCCTGCATAACCCAACATATCTTGGTGGCCCCAACATGTACGGGTGTCCCTTGCCTCACGAGCAGGTGGCTGGTGACCTGCATCAAGATTCACTGCGTGGTGATGAAGCACGAACATGAGAGCCACATCTCTTGGCGGCGGCTTCAAGTGCATGAACAGCAGAGTGAACGTCAGAGAAAGAATCCATTTCAGAAGGCGAACATCTTTCATCAAAGAGCCCAAGCCAAGCTTTTGGAGGCCTGTTCCCAAGAAACAATTTCAAAATGTTTTCACACCAATGTGTTTGAGTTCAGATGCGTGTGCTGCTTGAAGTCTTTCGGGTTGCAGGAGGCCCACAAATACAATGGAGCATCTGGCTACAAGGAGGCCTATATGGATGGAGTGGCGGAATACAACAGCTATGGTTTTGCCGCTACAAGCAGCAAACTCCAAGTTGATGAAAATGAAGCACTCGAGCTGTATGGGCTTAAAGTCTCTCGGCAATGATTGTGTTTCCAAAAGTTTCCACCCTTTTTCAGAAATAATAGTAAATTGTTTTGTAACAATTCTGGTTCCTCCAGTTAGTTCCTGCCTGTCGACTCATCAAAGTTTCCATAGAGCACAACCCAGAAGTCCGCTTGCCTGCAAGGTCGGAGTCTGCAGCAAATCATGGTCTCTTCTTGAACGTCACTTGCACAAGTACGCATTCCAAAGCTCAGGCTAAATCTGGTGAAAGTTGAAATCAAAGGGTTTCGGGCTGGGTTTGGGTGTGCTAGGACATGTCAAGTCGCGTCAGCTGCATTATGGGGAAACTTTTTCAACTTGATTGATTGAAACCTGGTTTCCCGAGCTGTTTAAAGTTGGTTGTTGCTGCAAATCTGTTGGATACAAGCATTGGCTTATTCAGCTGCTCTTACTGTTGTTCTTGTTCGACCCTGTCAGCCTTCAGCCGGGATTTTCTGATGGACAACCGATGGCTGTTGGACGGCCTGCCGAAAGTCACCAACCTGTGCCCTCTATGGCATTCCATCTTGAAGATGACGCCAAGCAAGCAGAGCATGTTTCTCCAAAGGGTGTTTCACTTGCATGACGTGCAGACACGTCGGGCAGGTCGAGCATGTGTCACCAGACTCACCCCGGAGCAGTGGGTATCCCAGATTGACTTGATTTGTGTTCAAGTCTACATCTTTGACCACATGGTTATTGCCAAGAACAATGATGGACAGAATGAATTCCCGCTGGACATACTCCAAAAAGTCGAGCTGGGGATCTTGGAAGGGTATCTTGCTGTCAAATTTCTTAGTAATTTTCAGCTGTTAGCAGCGGCTGCTTTCTTGGCCACTGTTTTATTTGGTGTTCACGGACATGTCCGTTTTGCAATCAGTAGGGTCAAGAAGCTTGTTTTTTTTCCTATTCAGCCAATATTCTGCTGCGACTCAGGGACTTTGCCGAAGAAGCCATGGACTTGCTCACGACGAAAGATCGAAACTTCAAACCTGCTGATTCCACCATGTGGAAGGACAATGCCTCTACACCTCAGGAATCGGAAGCAGATCCTTCTCACGAAGTTCCTTTGGACGCAGCTGACAACAAGCTAGACGCCTTGAGCAAGGACGCAAAGCAGAAGGCATGGCAACACGACAGCTTGTCATTGGCAAGAGATGTGGCTGCAATTGCCAAAATGATGCAGCAGGTTCAGAAAACCGAAAAAGCCGAACGACTTCGCCGCATAACCCATGTTCGAAGCGAGAATGTCATCGGTGCATCCATCATTTCCAACCACATGGAGAAGCATGCAAAGCATTTGGGTGGAAGTGAAGCTGACTTGACCCATGCAGTGGAACAGGCCTGGACCTATGAAACCTTTGAAAACCATAGTGCCAAGTGTGTAGGGTAACAATGTGGGTATTATAGCTGTTAGCTCTCAGGTTTAAAATAATAATGTTCTGTTTTCTGTTCCTCTCACAATGCCTCCCTCAAGTCCATGTCTTGACCCTGCAGTTTGTGGCTGCACGCAAAGCAACAGCTGGTGCGCTCGTGGTTTGGGCCGATTTGACCAAGTTTGGTCGCCTGGGTGTGAGCGACTTGAACTTTGTTGTCAGCATTATCCACAAAGCTTTGTCCAAAGTCCCGACCAAGGGTGTTGCAATCTTGATTGCGCCGCACCTAGTGTCAGAGAAGGTATCTGGTGGGCAGCGAGGAGACGTTAGGTCCTTCAGCTCAACTGAGCCAAGGCTTTTCTTCTCTTGGGTTCTGGTTCTTTGCCTTTTCCTTCGATGTTATTTTGTTTTATTTTGTTGGTGGTGCAGCTATGTGTAGTTGTTCAAAGTAATGGGGTGCCCTGGACAATAGAACATCTTGGGCCAATTCTGAATCATTTACTAACAAAGAATGCAATGCCAAAAGACACTGTTGCAATCACACCCACTGCAGGCGAATAGAGGACAAACTCGATTCTCGACAATTGTTGAACCAGCTCATCACGATCAGAATGGAGTGTCCACCAGCCAGCAAGAAGGTCCCCCTCCAAATGCTCGGGTGGATTGTGATGCTGGAGGGCGCCGTTGAGGAGAACATTTTCAAAGGGAGCCAGCTGATGACAGACAGGCCAGAAAACTAGATTTTTTGATGTCAAACCTCATAAATCCAATGCTTGACGATTTTTTCTTCAAGCCTTAGTCTATTCAAATCACAAAAAACAGACTTACAGGCTGACAGGAGGTGTCTCCAACTTACTTCCAAGCAACCCTTCTTGACACAGGTCGACACGGCAGGCGGTTCCATGGGCCTCTGAATCTTCGTACATCGTGCCAGCTGCAGAGAAAGACTCATTACCTCATGCATCAGAGGGCCAGCGGAGTCTTGGCTCTTAAAAGCATGGAATTTCAAGTCTTTCCAAGTTTCCGTTGCCTGAGGGATAGCGGGTACAATTAGAAACTTGGTATCTGCATAAATCTGGGGTGAGCATCCCCTTGGGGTGGGGGGGGCGTCCAAAGGACTTGGGTGTGCCAACCTTGAGAAACCCAAACTAGGTGGAAATTTGTGCAATCTGATTTATGTTCTCATTATTTTCCTATTTATTCTTCAGCCAGATTTCGATGATAAGTAATAATTTTTTGATGCTGGTAATTCTTGTGATGGTTCCTGCTCCATCAAAAAATTGAGGTCTCTGAGCGATGTCCAGGAATCCGCGCAGCTCCTTGCTGGAAGTGACTTTCCGAACGCTGTCCTCACCAGCGTGCTTGGGAAACTGACTGCAACTGCTGGCATGCTGGTCAATGTGACCCCTTACGATGGTTGTCTTGAGACTTGCCTCATGAAGTGGCACGAGGACAATGGCATGATGATCGACTACTTGTCTGTCTCCCGCTCTGTTGGCATCATCGAGTATGTTGAGAAGAAGATTGGTTTTCATCTTCTCCAGGCCTGGATTCAAAAACAGTAACATTATTATGCATGTATCATGATTTACAATGTGCTCATGCGTCTCAAATTTTCTGGGCTATGTTCAGTTTCATTGTTTGGCCCCAGGTTATTTTTCACGATGTGTTCATGTGTCTCAAGTCTTATCCGTTATATTCAGGTTCATTGTTTGGCCTCACTTGCCCTGATCGTCAGGGCTGGAAGGCAGGGAATCATTGCATGGGTGATGTCCGTCCCTATCAACCAGAACCACCAGCTGCACGTGAAGAAGACAATGTCGATCCGAAGGACTACGAGTTCAAATTGGTTGTGTGTGAGGTCAACAACACCAAGAAGGGATGGGAGAGGTACAAGTTCACTTTGCCTTCACATGTGAGAAGCATGTATGCACGGGACATCGTGTATGGTGCAGATTGGCGAGCTCTTCTACAGGAATTTGATGAGAGGTGCCAAGCCTGCACTGGTGTTTTATGATTCTCTCATGTTTTTTGCCTTCATTAGATTTTGGTGTGCTTCTATGTGTAGCTTCAAATCCATATCATATCTATGCCTGATTGCGAAAGAGATCATTCTGACAACCTGATGTGAATATCGGCTGAATTAGAAAGATATCCAAATCATCAGGAGCTTGAAGGGTCAAGACTTTCTTATTGAAGAAGAAACCCTTCAAAATGCAAGGTTTGGTGCAAACTCTTCAGCAACATCGGGATTGGCACCTCCGCCTGCTCCAGTTGCCCATCAGGCAGTTCAGGAAGTCAACTGGCCAAACGAACCATCCACAATCGACAATGTCATGGAGATTTACCATGTAGAGGCCAAGGCGACTGGGCGCTTACCAGGAACAACGCTACTCTTGGTTGCTGCCAAAAACCGAGCTGGAAAGACCGAACATTGTTGCCCAGGCCAACTCTACAAACTCTTTCTGGCTACTCAACATGGAATTGGGTAGTAAACAGCTTGAAATTTTTGTGTGCCTAATCCTTTGGTGACCTTTTTTTGTCGTTTCCTTACCAAGTATTACTAACTTATTTTAAATAATATTTTAAAATAAGTTAAATATTTTTCTTGCTTCCATTTGATGCTGTCCAATGCAAGGTTGCTCACATGGAAGTGGAGATCCCAGCTGATGAGTATGTGATTTGTCATGGTACAAGCCGATTCATCAACACGCAGAGGATGGCAGATCTCAAGAGGAAGGAGAAGACAGGCCAGGTTCCAGAAATCAATATATAATGGGGTTCTGTGGGGTCTTTAACACTGGGAACAAAACCATGGCATCCCATTCTCTAGTTGTCATGGCACTTTGACCTCTGCATTTCCTGCTGGCCTGACTTCTCCTTGCTTAACCATTTCATCAACAGCTCAAACCTTGCAGTGTCAGTGACCACATTTAGTGGACCGACCCCATGTCTTCGGCTTCTTTTGCTGGCATTCTTGCCGATCACGGGTTTCAGAAGGACCGATCATCAAATTTCTGATGAGTCATGTTTATGAATCTTTGTGACAAAAATGTGACAACCTTGCAGCGTATGGTGAAACATGTGCTACAACTTTGAGAAGCCCAGTGTTGCAGGACTTCGATGACCTTGCTGCAAAAGAACCTGATGTTGTGCAAACCCCGCCCTGTAGAAAGGTTAGGGCCCAAATTGCTAGTACTGTTGCATGTTACTGCAGAATTCCATCTACCATCACTTGCAAAAGGGCCAGCAGCCCCACAAAAATCTCCACCTTCACCATTGGGCTGAGGCTGTAGCTTCACCGCCAGCTTCTGATGCTTCCTCCCAGGACAAGGGATAGATTTGAATCAGACCAACTTGAGCATGACAGCTAAAGTCATGTTTCTTGCCAAGCTGTTCTTTCAACTCCCAGTGTGTCGCATTTTCTTGGGGCCATCCCACAAACATACCCTGGAGGAGAAACATGGTCGTCAAAAGGATACCTTGAAAAGATTGCCTTTGACATGGGCCCATAGTACACCTGAGAACAATCCAGACTTGAAGGAACACGAGATAAAGGAGCTGAAGGCGAAAGCTGAGAAGGCAAAAAGTGGTCAGAAAGAGGACAGCAAGAAGCAAAGAATGGAAGCATTTGCAGCGTCAAAGCAGGAGCCCAAAGCAAGGGGGAGACCGTCAGCTTTGAGAAAATCTGCTGCCAGTGATCATCCCGCAGATGCCCGTTGCAAGAGCAAGACAGAGAAAGGTGGGCCACTGAAAAGAAAGGTTCGCTGTGAAAAGGAATCTTCCGAGAATGAGTTAGATTCTGAGGAGGCCCTGTCCGATCCAGAGGATTCTGATGGGTCCAAACCAGCTGTGCCCAAAGCGCGTGCCACCCGAAAGCCGAAGGAGATCAAGGGTCCCGTGCCCACTCAGAAAGCCAAAGCTGGTGCTGCTTTGGCAGTGCTGGCACTTGGCCACAGCGTTGGCAAGCAGCAAGCTGAGGACGCAAAGAATGGAAAAGAACAGGCAACAAAGAGAGACAGAGGCATGGCAAAGAAGGATGAAGGTTTGACAGAGAAGAAGGCAAAGAAGGATTCTGGAAAGCAAAAGAAGGAGCATGAGGAGAAGCTGCCAGCAAAGGAGGAGCGACAGACAATGCAGAAGGCAACAAAGAATCCTTCAAAGAAGGAGGTGAGGAATGCAGAGACTGAGCCGAAGGAGACAAAGAGCAAGAGCAAGGAGAAAAAAAATGAGAAGAACCTGATGAAGGATACGAAGGAAAAGAAGACCCGAAACAATAGCCAAGACCCCGGAAACACTGAGAAAAAGGTGAAAGCTGCTGATGCTCTCAAACAAATGGTGTCTAAGAAAGACAACAAGGTGATCGATGACAAGGTGAGCAAGCGTCCGAAGACAGAGAGCCAAAGCAAGAGGCCCCGCTCGGGATCGCTTCCGAAAGAACACCCTGACAAGCAGCCTCGAACCAAAATGGCTTTGAACAGAGGACGCAGTTCAGTTGCGTTGCCTTCAGTTGCTAGCAAGGTTCGCAGCAGCAGCAGCAACAGCACTGGTGCACATGTGCAAGTGGCAGAGGAGGTGGTTGAAGCCAAGGTCATTGCCAACAAGACCAACGCCCATGACAAATCTGTTGCTGATGGAGGGAGCGATTCTGATGCTACCACTGTTCGCCTTGGCCAGGAGCCTGAGCACGTGGATGGAGATGTGGAAAAGGATGACGATGAATCCAATGAATCGCAGGATGAAAACGGTGACAAGAAGGTTGAAAGTGAAGAAGAGAAGGATGGAAGCGAGGAAGAGGATCAGAGTGAAAAGGAGGAGGAAGAGAAAAGTGAAGAGGCCCACTGCACTCGAAAGATTCCAACAAATTTCCAGGCTTTGTCACAGAATATTTGTTTTTCTTTTTGGGGATGTCAGTTTATGATAGTTTATGCCACTTCAGTGATCCGACATAGGAATTGCATCGACTTGCACAGGTTCTACTGCTCTTGCATGTCGAATTTGAAATTCTGGCATGTGTTCTCTAAGTTTCCTCTGTCAAATCTGTCCTGGAGGAGCCGGAACCGAAGCCGAAGAAGGCTGGTTGGGCGGTTAGTTTTTCATGAAGCGGGTAAGTGGAACTCGCTGCTAGACATTACATTTTTATCCCCCTTACCATTTCCACTATATACCTTTATTTTTAAATGTAGATTTCAATCCCCCTGACCATTTCCACTACGAAATGGGTGAGCACGTGCTGGATACCATCCCCTGTTGCGGAGAGAATTCATGTAAAAAAAATGACGTCGTGCCCTGTAGTCAGAGAGTATGTGCTGCATCTTGTAGCGGCTTTTCATTTTTGGAACTTGAAAATCAGTGAAATCAAAGGTTGCGAATAAGGCTGCTTATTCGCGCCCTTGACAGGCTTCATTATCTGCGTTCATTTCGTGAAGTCTTCAATCGCTAAGTTTTCATTTTTCGAACTTAGCACTTGAAAATCGGAAATGCATTTTGTAGTGATTTATGTTGGGATGCTTTGGGTCATACAGGAAACGCATTCGCGACTCGTTGCGACTGTGTAATTGTAAGTAAGTGACACGCGGCGGTTGTCTGGTCTTGACACGCGTGGTCCGGTTTCCCTACTTGTCTGGTCTACCCTCTCCTATATCGTACGCGGGTTTTGCGCTACGCGGTCCTGTATCCATTCAGGGTTCGGAAGTTACCCTGTGTTTGTACACTCGGAAGTTATGACAAGGAAACTTCGGGTTTTCTGAGAAAATCAAACTGACAACCAAACCTCAAAGGTTGTATGTCAAGTTTCCTTGTTTCAATCTGGAAATTTTCCAACTGGATATTTCCCGGAATCTGGTGGAAATCATCCTGTGGATTATGTGGAAATAAGGTTCTTATTTCCGCATTGAAAGTTACGTGGTAAACTTTCCGTTACTTGAAAAGGGGAATGAAGAAGACGAAGTGTTTTTCTTTCCCCGGGAACACACTGATGTGTTTTGTTTTCTTATTTGTACAGTTGTACCTTTCTGTTCTGAGAACAATCCGTGAAGTTAATTGATCGCCTTGGTATTAAGTGGATCAAATGTGGTGGAGCAAATTTTAGTGCCCACCCACCCAGACCTCGGGGGGTTCATTCACCCGGAAATGCTAATCAGAGGCAAGTGATGAACGGATGGAATGGGTCGTTGTAGCCAACCCCTTTTTGCAGTGTTTAAATTTGAAGGAGAAAAAAGATGGGGGCGAGATTTCAATGATGGAAATTGAATTTTGTTGGAGCATTGCAGAAGACCGCTTTTTGCACTGACATGTTTTTCCGACTTGTGCGCATGTTCAGTTTTTTGGTGGTCGATGTCTATAACGCGATGTTTGAGATATTGGTGATACATATACCGTGGCGATAGCTTCACTTTTTATATATGGATATTGGGACTGCGTGATTTCCTAGATTTGTAGAGGTTACGCGAAGCGTAGGCCCGTGTTTCATTTGGGAGGGTTTAGGGTGGGTCTCATGCTTACGACACTAGTACCCTATAGCCATCTTTTGCCAGTCATGCTGGGTCACATAAACATATTTGGACCCTCAGACCATTTTTGGCTCTTGACTCACGATCATTTCGTGGTAAGATGAGCCCAAAAAAAAACAAAAACAAACAATTATTACGTAGAGACTTTGAAAAGGAAAAATGGTACTGTACAGATTTGGTTTCAAAACCAATCAATTGAATTTGAAGCTGTGGGCTTAGATCGTTTTTGTTGCCCCATAGCTCTGACGATTGCAGTTCAAAATCTCTGCGCCGTGCTTTTGTCAAACCCATTTTGGCCATTGTGATTATTAATAATTAAAAAGTGTATCCCTTTCTACTAGGTTCCTGCTCTTTTTTTCCAATAGTCAAGTTTCACCCAAGTTCAAAGAATCCATGTTCAGAGTTCCTTTCACCAGCAAAGCACAGATTCGATGCGCGATGTCCCAGTTTCAGAGTTTGTCATGCACTGCATTTTGCAGTGACACACGCGTGCACAACCTTTTGTAGAACCTACTGCGTCCCCCTTTTTATGTAGAGACTTTCAGACAGAAAAATGGGACAGATTTGGTTTAAAACAAATCGGTTGAATTTGAAGTTGTGCGCTTAGATCGTTTTTGTAGAAACCTCTTGAAAGGTCAATTCTTGGAATCTGATGGAAATCCCAAAGTTGTATTTACTTGTGCTCGGCAAATGCTATGACCTGGGCCCGGAAAGTGAACCAAAGAAATAGGGTGAAATTTCCAGAAACCGTTTAGTAGAGAATCATGATTTTTCACTGCAACTGGTTTTTCACTACAAAATGGTTACACAAATGCATTTTATAGTACCCCACATTGGCTTTTGATCCACCATCAAAACCCCCAAAGCATTTTGTAGCAACGGGGTTGGTCCAGATAAAGGCAGCATTTTGCAGCGTAAGGCTGTGTTTGTAAACGGTTTAGTTGGCACAACTACCTTGCAGAATGCAAACCAGGATACATTTTCCTATCCATGTTTAATTCCTTGGATACATGGTGAGCAAGGCTTCCCTCAAACTCAAAAGTTGAAAGACACGAGCTCAATTGCAATTACATGATGCCAGCCCACTGGCAACCAGTTCGGGTGCTACTGAACAAACCACCCTTGCAGGTACTTGATCCTTTTCTTTGGTAACCCTACTGACCACATCCTTGTGCTAACACGATGCTCTCTCTCTCTCACCTGTTTTTCTCTCCTTTTCTCTCTCGCACACTGATTTCGCAATAATTTGCCTGAGCGGAACCCACCATGACTTTTTATTATTTGGCCCAGTGATTTTCCCAAGTCAAGTTAGATATTGGGCTCTGGGGTTATCGAACTCATTGTGGTGATTCCATAGTAAGTTCTATCAGATCGAGGTTGCTGTGTGGAGTTGTTCATCGGGAACAACGAAGTTTTTACATGTTTTCACATTGGATACGTGATATACTATACAATATGCTTCTATCTGGGTCAGGTTTTGACTTAGGTTAGCATCAAGCTATCATCCGTTTGAGAAACTTCCAGCAGGAGAAGACACCGCTGCAAAACCTCTACTTCAAGCACATCAGGGAATACACCGCCAAGCTCTTGGAACAGCACCCGTCCTTGTCCAAAGGCAAGGCCCTGGAAGAGGCCCGAAAAGCGTGCAAAGCTTAGCGCAACCTGCATTCAAATTAATCAAAAACATTCAGCCTCAGATCAATCTTTCATCAATGTTTTTGTTAGGCAAAACCTTGATCAATCACAGCCATTCCCTACACAGCCTGCTATGTGTTTGTTGGGGTGGGACATCCAACTAAGGTGGCGAGAGCACCCATCAAGAGTCAGCATCTTGAAGACCATGCCTCCAAGCCAGCTGAGCCGCCGACGCCTGAAGATGCACGCTTCTGAGCCGAAAGAACCTATCGAAGAGCTGCCGGAAGATGACAAGGCCATGGATGATGACCGCTTGGCTGAGGATGAAGGATCAAAGGAAGAGAGTGAAGCAGAGGATCTTGAAGAGGAAGGTGAAGAGGAGCCAGAGGATCTTACAGAAGAGATCGACAGTGACCAGGAGGAGAGAGAAAGCAAGGTTGTTTTTAACCAGGAGACCGGATTCAGTGACACTGAGTCCGATGCCGATGCCTAAAGTATTTCTTTAGGTTTGAAGCTTTGGGAGCGCTGGGGGACAGACATGCAAAAGGATTGAAATTCTCATTCGCTTGACATTGGCTAAAATGAATCAACCGGCTAGGCACTTGCTACTGCAATTTAAACCTCATGGTGTGCCTCCCCAGTAGCAGCCAGTGCTATGGGTTGCACGTGCAATGTGAACATTGCGCGTGGGATTTTGGATGAAAGGCCTCGATGAAAAGCATCTTCATTTAGACTAGGTGCTCCTTAGACCTGGAGCACCGGTACGTGCTTCAGCCCGGATTCCTAGCTAGCTTGCTGACAAAAAGTTTGCTCCTGCTTACTGGGATTCTGTCGAGTCATTGCGCAGGCCTTCCCAAGATTGATCACGACATCTTGATCCAAAGTTTTTTTGATCATTATTCCTTGCCCTTCCCTGTCAGACGAGCTGGCCCGGGTGGTGGCCTGCAAGTGGCACAGCGACACCGAGAAGGTAGTGCTTGAAATCTCTGACCCTACCAAGAAGAAGACCACGGACGCCCAAGTTTGCAGCTGGAGGGAGCTCTTCTCAGATTTGGAGGATGAGGGGCATTTCGAGGTGACTGTCAATTCCCATGATGTGCAAAAGGCTCCAGCCAGCAGTGAAGACACCAGCTACCCGTCTCTGATTTGTGTCTCATTTCTCCCCTGACGAAAGAACACAACAATTTTTCCCCAACATGATGCAGTACACTGTTGAGCGAGTGAGGTAGAATTCTGAAATGCTGGGATTGCTGAATACAATTGCATACAACTTTGGCTGGTCCAAGGTGAATTCTACATCCGGCCCAAGGCCAATGAGATGTTTTATTCTTGGGGCTCAGTGGCAACAAATGGCATCAAATTCGGTTCGATGGCTTCGGCCTTCACGGGCGAGGCAACATAGCTGAAGCCTGAAGCAAATGCTACAAGACATGACTCTGTTTCAACTCCATTGAGTGTCTTTGTGCCGCTCCCAGTACTGTCAGGCTCTCAATGCCAGCCGGCCGTTGGAACGTGTTTGGAGGGTCTTCTATGCGACTGAATCGAAGGAAACTTGTCCGTATATTGTTTTCATTGTGACAAGACCGCAAGACCATTGAATGTGACACCCTGACAACCCCCGGATCCAGCCTTGAAGCTGGACAGCTGCACTCTGAGGAAGTGTCACCAAGTCACTAGTCTGCAGTGTGTTGTCAGCTGCTGCATGTTGTCTATGAACCAAGAGCACAATGTTTGCAATCAGTTGGAAACACAATTCTTTACTCAGGGAAGCCACTCTATTTCATGAGAAAGCCGACCCACATGATGGAAAATGAAGCCATTCGGCTTGTGTGAAACACAATGCTTGCTTGGCCGACACGTGCCAAATTTTGATCCAGAACTTCAGCCAGACGCCGAACTTGAAACTCTAGGATGACACCTTTGATTTTTTGTTCACTATAGTGTGCTGGATTTACTGGTTTCAACTTTGTATGAACAAGAAAACGTGCCAGCTCGATCTAAGATCAACTGCTTGCTTGTGATGTCAATAGGCTGGCTGGCTGAGATGTTTGTTTGCATCAGCTAAGTGCCCATACGAGCGGACCAAAGAGCGGACCAACCGCTTTGAGAATGATGGAAAACCAGAGGCAGTGTGCGACCCACTGATCAACTGGTTTGTGGATCTCTGATCAGCTTACTTGTTTGGAACATGTTCCCAACAAACCTTTTGCTTGAAGCCTCTCTGAATTCAAACAATGATGCCTCTTGCATCAAAACTCTCTCACATCAAAACACCAATACACATAGGCTTACAGTATCACGGTTATGTTATCATCCATCTGTGTTTATCCAATGCCAAGACTTCTTCAGGAAAGGACTTTAGAAACAGTTTTTTGTCCAGCCACAGTCAAACAAATCTGGGTTTGGCGCATGGCAAGCTGCAGTCAGTTTGGCCTCTGGGAGGCTTGGAGCCAAGTTCAGGGGGCCTGCTTGGAGACCAACTACCGATCACTTAGACAAATGGTAACAAATTTGTTGCCTTCACATCAACAATGTTGGCTCACTGCTGTGACACGAGTTTGTGATACCTCGCCTGGTAGAGACAGGAATCTCCGAAGCCAGCCATCAATCTGAATTTTGCTCCAAGCATTGAGGTTTGTGGTTGTTTGGCGCGGCTGAGTGAAAACGCTTCCGCACCGAAACCTAGCTGCAAGATACTGTTGATTGGTTTTTTTCTTCTTATCTGGCAGCAATGCAGAGCTTCCAGGATTTGGATTCCAATTTCAAAAACATACGCAAGGATGATAAGATAGGTCACCCAATCTGACAAATCAGTTTGAACTAGTTTGAACCGTTGTTTCTCAAAATAAGAAAGGTCAAAACATGTCAAAGCACACTGCGAGATTGAGCCACTGACTCGCTTCAACCAAATTTAAATAACCTTGCTTTTCGTGTCACAAATGTACTTTATACTAAATTCACTTGAAATCGGCGCACATGTGATCCAAGGAAAATGGCTATATGGTTCGCCAAGAACCCCTTGCTTTGGCTGAGACTGATGTAGCTTGCGTTTTGCAACGCTCCTTCCACGAGCAACCACCAAGTTGAGAGCAAATCAAAGCACTGCGCCAGTGGGACACTCTTCTTGAGCGGAATCAATTAGCACATTCTTCCTATTCCTGCTTTAAGCTTTAAGAGAATTCTTGGTGGTTCATGCCTTGAAAGCTGAGATGATTTGATTACAAACTCCTGTGTGTGCCGCGTCATCAGGGCAAAATGTTTTTTTGCAAGACAAATTCCAGAGCAAACTTGCAGCAAAATTTCAATTGAACAATTAACGCTCCTTGCCATCTCGCTTGATTTTGATTCTGGGCATGCACTGGACAATCACCAGCAACCAGCACAGTCTGTGATGCCAGCATGAAGCTATTTGCGTTACTTATTTGCAAGCCTTTTGGCTGTCGCGAGGTCAGTTCACACACACATGTATCTTGCTTGAGAGTGGCCAGCAAAAGTTGTTCAAAGAGTCCCTGTACAGCCTTAAATCGCACCTGACCCAACTTCAGCCATTTCCAGCCTTACAGTGCTTTTCCTTTGAATTGAACACCTTGCTTCCTAGTTTCTCCTAATAGGAAAATAGCTTGAGATGGAAGTATCCTTACCGAATTTTCCAGTGAACATCTTGCTTCCTGGCGCTAGCTGGTTCTTGCAATGGTGAAAGATGGCTGTAGATGGAAGTATCTGGATGTACAGGTTCCTGCAAAGGGGCCTTTGCGTCGGAGCGGCTTGCAGTGCATCTACACCCGCAAGCGATCCCTGATGTTAAGTTTTGGCATGTTTTGACATCATCTTTCAGTTGAGTTAGGATGCATGTTCAAACATAAGCGCGGAGTTGAGCTCTCATGTGTTGCAAGGGGTGGGAAGTCTATCTGAGGAAGGGAGCGTGAGCGTGACGAACAACAGTTGCGCGCTTCAGCCTCTGTTGCAGCTGACGACACTGAATCTGCAGTCGCTACATGGGATGCTTATGGGCCTTGCAACTCTGACTGTGACATGGCGGTGGTTCCAGGTGAGGGGAGCATCGCGGAGGAGCCCAAACCTGATGGATTGGTTCCAGGTGAGGGGTGCATCACTGAGGAGCCAAAACCTGATGGTTCCCTCTGCGCTATGTGCTTGTTCGCAGCCATGCAGAAGGGGAAGGAATCAACCAACATGCAAGTTAAGAAGGCCCTGACGAAATCCCAACAAAGATACTTGGAGACTGGGTACAAAGAGTTGGAGAAGCTTACCCACGAAAACTATGAGCAATGCCCCTAGGCTTCAAGTTTGCTGGAATGTTTCTTTAGCCTAAGGCCTTGTCAGTGTTGTGCCTTCTTTTTCACATGACACGCCCAACACAGTGTGATTGTTGATGCATGATGGCTTTATTAACTGGTAAGGCCAAAAAATCATCCTCTTGGAGAGCCAGCTTCGAACCGTTTGTCGCCTTTTGAAAGAGATCAAGGGTTGCGCTTAGAGTTTCAGATCCTACACCTACCTGGGGTTGCGTGTGGGGAAAATATGATTGCCTGATTTTGCCTGGCTGTTGCATTCACAGCAGCGCAGCCTTTGCCGTTGCAGTGCAGCCTGAACCTGACTGATTGGATTGTATGTTGATCACACTTCGTTAAAGAACCCTGAGGTCAGCAGCACTGAATGTCAACTATGGATTTACAGGTGCCGCTCCAACATGTCACCTCGGAATTTGGACTGGAATTTTCTTTCTGGCTGCAACAGTTTTTTCATGTTTTTTCAGTAATCAGTTTGTACTGCTCTGGGCATTTGATTTCAATGTACACGGGATCACTGTGGTGATATATTGTTTCAAAACCTCGCTGGCTTTCATGTCGGGGTGGCTAGAAGGCCTAAAAGAAAAACCTCCCGTTAGCATTCACAGAAATCCAACATTTTTTGGTACTGCAAATTATTGCTTAATACTATCATTGCGCAATCTCGCGTAGTATTTTTCATTCACCTATCCTTGCGTAATATCCTTGCGTAATATCCTTGCGTGATCTCCTCGCGTAATATGTCCTTGCGTAATATCCTTGCGTAATATCCTTGCGTAATATCTTTGCGTAATGTCTTTGCGTAATATCATGCGTCGGCGCCGACGTCGGCGCCGACGTCGGCGCCGACATTGATGCCGACGACGGCGCCGACAAAAAGTAGATATTGCGCATTGCGCACTGGGCATTGCGCATTGTCTTTTTCTACGCGCAATCTATCAAATGCTTTGTGCACAATTGTTTTGTACAGCTTTTAGACTCTATCCAGCCAAAGCGAACTCTAAGCCAAAGTGAAGAACTCAGTTTGGTAAGAATGCATCACATTTTAGATTTCCCTTGGATAAATCCTGATCTCTGAGTTTTCTCTTTGCTACCTACACTGCATGCGATTTTTTTCGATTGAGATGATTGTCTTTTAGTTTCTCTCTCTCTCTCTCTCTTCAATGGCCTTCATGTTTTGGAATGATCATTGATTTGCCGCCATGCCAGGTGAAGTCACTGAGTGATGGAACTTCAGAGCATGCCGTCTATGTTGTCAAAAGGGATGTGACCAAACATAAGTTTTGAAGGGATGCCATCACTGTGCCCACACATTCCCACATCATTTATCATTGGAAGTGCGGGCAACATTTATCTATTATAACAAATGATGATGATGATGATGATGATTGTTGTGCTCTGAACTGGAGGGAGCGCAACGGAGCGCAGCGTGTTCACGACATCAAAAGCAGGAGGAAAAAAGATGCCAGATCCCACACCAGAATTTGTCGACCACTCTGAGTGAAGCATGCATTTTTGCTGAGGCATTGACCAAGACAACGTCTTAATGAACACCAAGTGCACATGTCTAACCCCTGAATGTAATGTAATAACCCCTGAATGTAAGGAAATGGACTTATATATATATATATCATATATATATATTATATATATAATAATTGTAATATATGTATATTGTTTGGACAAACCGATTAGCCGTGACATTTTCGCTCCGCTGTGCCGCCGCCATGAGGTGCTGAGCCCATCAGAATTTCAACAGCTGCTGACCTCGCCACTCGGCGAAAGTGAAGCCTCTACTGGAATTCCATCATAAACCACAAGGATTGTTTTTTTTTAAAAAAAAACTTGATTTTTTTTAAATATACTTATTGAAGATTATGAATAAGTTATTTATATAGGTTATATTTATACTTGATGTTTTTTTTTGCAGGTGGCAGGACCAGAGCCAACACATCCAGATCAAGGGAGGCAAAGCATGGTCCTGGATCGATCCTCATGGGCTATGGGTTTCTGATTTCTTTCTGGGTTTTTGATGGTTGATGGTTGATACCCTCTGGTAAATTAACAGTTGGACCCTGAAACTAACCAATTTATAGTGGAAACTAGTCTTTCAAGCCCTACAACTGGCAGGGTCTATGTTAATTTACTGGAGGGTAATGTTGATGGTTGATTTCTCAGAAGAACCACACAAATAAAGCAACCATGTGTAACACCATGTAACACTCTCTTCGGTGTTTGACTTGCCTCTGGCCACATTGCACTCAGGCTACCTCAAGGGTCTTCAGATTTGCCCACGGAGCAAACTTTGAGAAACATGTCATTTAATTTAGTGACTCAAGGGCATCGACAGAACAGATGCTATGGGTTGCCGGGTTGCCGGGTTGCCTGATTTTCTGTGGAAGACTACACTGCTGTGGTGAGATATGATGATGATAACATATGATGATATATGATGATATATGATGATATATGATAATATATGATGATATATGATAATAAGACATATATGATAGTATGATAATATATGATGATACATGATAATATATGATAAGATCATTTCAACAATTTCTTCACTTATTGAGCTGATGAATGTGATCCTAGCTGTGATCCTAGCGCAGAAAGGAACGGTTCCTGCCATGTCAGCTGCAAACCGAGGACAATTCCGCACTGCAACAGCTGGAAAGGTGGTTTGGACAGAACAGATGCGGGAGATCGCGACATCTGCAGTCCCTTCCCCGCAGCTTTCGCCGGGAATGCCCGGGGTCAGGGACTGCAATAGAGCTCAAGGAATGGTCAAGGAACCACTAAACCATACTAAACCATCAGTCAGTTGAGTTTTAGATGTTTGATAATGAATGGAGTGGTACGTCACAGCAAGACATCAGGTTTGAAACGCGTCGGACATGTCGCCTTTGCGATCCTTTGCGGCTGGCACGACAGCTCTTTTTGAGAGCAACGCATATAGTGACAATGGGAACATGGTGATTAATAGTGATTAATAGTGGTTAATAGTGATTAACGAGGATTAATAGTGATTAATATAATAATGGATTTGCGGTTTTGACTGGTACCACCTTAATGTCATGTTCCCATGAGACGACATGTCGTCATGGCAGAGTCATGGCTCGAGGCAGGCGGAGGCTTGTTGATGCGGGAGGCCTATGAGCGACAATTGATCCTGGACCCTGAAAGCTTGACGACCACAGATGGGTTCTTTGGCTGCACGACCTTTGCTATGGGATGATAGGATTTTAGTTACCACCCAATTCATGGTTATTTGATCGGGAAAGTATGGGAACATGGTGAAAAATGATGATGAATCAGACTCAACACTCAACCAGTGGATTTTGGGGTATACAATGATATACACCATTTTCAATCAAAGCCATGTGGAGACATCGGTATAGACCACGGATTTGCGAGGCCATTGGCTGAATGCATTCCAAGTGCACCTCCAGACACGGGGGCTGCACAAGCAGCACAAGCGCTAACGAGTCAATTGATGGTTTCTGGGCAGAGAAGATACGGCTGCATTGATTTAAGCTTTGAGGATCAGTGGTTGTTGTGATAGGCGTAAGATTGCTGGCAGATGCTGGCAGTTTATATGCGAACATGGTGAAGGTGATGTCACACACAACCCGACCTTGCCTCCCAACAAGTTCAACGGCTCCGCAAATGTTGCGCCATTGATCCCCTGCCATGTTGAATGAGGTCATCCGTTTCGATGGAAAAGTGGCCAACATTTCTGAACTTTGGCTGCGACATTTGACATAGGTCATGTCCGTATTTCACTTTCACTTTCACTGCAACTTTGCAAATCAGCAAACTCAGTAAACTTACAGTATTATCATGTATTATCTAGCGAAATGGTCACGTGCGTTTGTTGAGAGTTGTAACACCCCAGACGACAACCTGATCTGCCTAGAGTTGGAAGTACACAAAAAAAAATCCAAAAAGACTGATGGAGGCAATAAACTTGATGCAACATTTGATACACACATGGGGATGGGTCAAAACCCTGGTACCTAGTGAACCCCAAAATAGCTGGTAAATGGATGTTCATCGCACTAAAAATGTATCTATAGGTATTGACCCATACCCACATAGATTTCATAGACCTACACAGACACAAAATGTGTTGTCCTTTTCAGGTAGATGTTCACTTTGCCAGGTTGTAGCTTCACAGACTTGGTTGGACATTGGTCACCAAGCAGCCAGCCGTTTTGGTGACCTGGTCTTTGATGCATCCTCTCACGTGCTGCTGGGAGTTGGCCAAGCACCAAATCGCGGCTTGAAAGTGGGGCAAACCGTGAAGCTCACTGCTGTGATCAATCGACCTGAGTTGAATGGCAAAATTGGAAGGATCACCAAGGTGAATGGAGCAGAGGTGGATGTTGCATTGCCCAGGGGTCTTGAACGTTTCTCGGCTGCCGCCATAGTCCTGCAGGACGAAGATATATTTTCTTCCTTTTTGATATGCTTTCATATATCTGCTTTCAGACTCTTTCAGATCAGCTCAGATGGGATGCTGTTTCCATCTCTCTCTTTCTGTTGAGCCAGGTTTGCACCAAGACAATGTCATGCCTCACAACGTCTCTGTAGTTAGTCGCTCAGAGTCTTTCCCCTTGGACTTCACAGCGGTCGCGGATACGTCCACTGTGCTGCGGGTTCTTTGGCTTGAAAGGTCACCAGCTTCTCAAACTTCTCCGAAGTCCAGGGCAAGCACAACAGGACCCTTAAGAGCCATTGGTTGGCAATATGTCGGGATGAGCGCGCGCAAGCACAACTTGGTATCTCTTGGCGAATTCCGGAACTTCCTGTGGAACTTGCACTTGGAGGATTCCAACTTTGCAGTGGTGAGCAAGCGGTTTGCGCCTACTGGAAATTACATTGACTACGAGGAGACCCCTTGAATCTCCATCTAGCAGCTAGTGACAATCCTGTTCTGCTGCGTTGGTATTATTTGTCAATTGGTGCCAGAAGGAACCGCAGAAGCAAAGGTTCTATCTTCATTCATGGACTAATGGCCCGTCAAAAAAGTCCAATTTCAAATCTATGTCTTTACCCTCGAAAGACGTTGACACGTAGTCTCTTGGTTCCAAAGTCTGGTCATTGTTAGATGATGTTAGATGATGTTAGATGCATCCCACAGTCCAGGAGGTGCTTTTCCTCTTGGGCCGATCACATCTGCGTTGCAAAGAAGTGCCGATTGATGCGCTGATCTACGAAGCCGTGGTCTCCATCCTTGGGCGTCGTACAACGGCTCATATTGATCGAGACCTTGGAGCAGAGGACAGAGGACTCGGGAAGAGGAAACTAGGCTGCAGTTACAATCATGTTACAAAGCACAGTCCAACTGAAAAAAAAAAGAGGGTCAGATATATAATGATGATAGGCGGGATCATCAAAGATCAGACAGGATCATTAGGGATTACTCCCCACCTGCCGAATTTTATGACACCTTGCTCCTCTTCCTCCTCATTTTCCTGTCCTCCTCCTCATTTTCCTGTCCTCCTCCTCCTCCTCCTGCTACCGCCTCACACCATTGCCAGCTCCCAGACTCTGTGGCTTTGCCGGAAGCGAACAGAATGGCTAGCTCGTAGACTCTTTGTACCCTGCTGGACCTGAACTATCCAGCTGAAATGTCAGATAGATTGCCAGGTAGAATATGTACTCGTAGAATGAAAGAATCTCTGTCGGATAGATTGCCAGACAAGACGCGAGATAGAACCCCAGAAAAAAATGTCAGATAGAGTGCAAGATAAAACGTCATATAGAATGCCAGATAAAATGCCAGATGGAACACCAGAAAAAAAATGCTAGATAAAACTTCGATCGAATGCACGATGAAATGCCAGAACATTTGTCAGATAGAATGTCAGATAAGATATGTGAGTGAGAGCCAGAATATATGTAAGATGAAATGTCTTAACAATGTCAGATAACAAACTAATTGTCAGAAGTATGTCAGATAAAATATGATAAAATGTTGAAATGCAGGTCAGTTGGTGGGGACCACCCGAAGTAAAGTAATCCGCTCATTTTTCATGTCTTGGTCGCAGTTCTTCAGTACTAATTAAATTAATTGGTTTGAATCAGCGATGCCTTGAGCGGGACACCTTTTTGTCTGCGGCCGCCAAGGAATGCCTGCAAAGAGCACTGTGCCAGCTACTTCACCTCTTTCATCCTTGAAGCCGTGATTTGGTCGACCATTCTTTTTATCCTCTTCATGTTTTTTATCGATGAATGCTTTTTGGACATTGCGCTTGAACCCATGATGTTTATTCCTGCTGCCCTTGCATACGTCGTCTACATCGTGCATCTGGCCTGCTGTGTTCGTCTGACCCGAGCCTTTGCGAATCAAACCGAAGGCATTGAATCTGCCTGGTCCTCAGATGTAAGGGACACGGAATCATGCTATGCAAGGCCATGCAAGGCCTAGTAATTCAGAAATTAGTTCCCCCATGTTTGCCTTGAACATCCTTGAACCGAGTTGCACTTCAGGTCATGCTGTTGATGGACAAACCGCGTCATGAGAACCCACGCTACAATTGGCATGTCCAGTGTGGGGGCCTCTGTCCAAGATTGTCGCGGGCGATCAGCAAGTATCATCAATGCTGGAAACCGCTGGCAGTGCTAAGGTTACCACTATAGGACGGAAAGGAGGACGAGGAGAAACAAGGCCTGCAGAAACTGGATAAAGCTAGAGTAAATTGACCGATTTTGGAAGGAGCACATTTGTCATCCTTTGTGAAGGGTTTTGTGCCAGACATGGAATGTGCTTTGGTGAAACTCCGATTCCATAATTGGCATAACGCTGCATGATGCCGCATGCAAGTTGATGTTTTCTTTGCGAAAGTCCTTTCGAGAATTGATTCTGCCAAGCATTTTGAGATTGAAGATGCAATGCAGGGACATCTACAGATTGTATCAGTGTTACACATTGTTACATGACTCATATGACTCTGCGCTAACCCTGAGCTGCAGGATGGAAAGACTGAAACCTACACTGAGCAAGTGAAAGTCATTACTCATTCCGCTAGTGCTTCTGGCACCATTCCTTCAGAGGACTGAGCATCGATCGTTTATCGGGCAGTTCCAAAATATTGGAATTGTATTGAATTTTAATTCATCATTCAGATCATTCATCATTCATGCGATTCATGATTTGGATTCATTTGATTCGAGATCAATGTGTGACGCGGCCGAGGACTTGACTTCCGAGTTTCTTCCGAATACCATGGCAACACAGACGCAGATTGAGACTTTGCTACACCAGAAAAACATGGAACAACTGTGTTGAGGCAGGATGGATTGACGTGAAATGACATGGATATAAAGTAAATACTCAGTCATTGGTCTGATGTGACTTGAAAAGCCACAGATCTTGGAGCATTTTGACTATTAATAAAATGCCCGTGCCAGCGAAACAAAGTTTCATAAAGTTTCCATACCTCAGGAAACAAAGTTGGATCTGGATTTCTCCAGCAGCAACTATCTCATTGAGTACAACCGCTGGAAGAACTTCCACCGACGCGATGTGTATCAGGACGGAGACCAGATCACTGGCAAACTCTGAAAGTTGGCGCACAGAATCAAAGGACGCAAAGTTTCACAGGGAGTTGGTTTCAATCTTTTCCATTCTTTTCCTGGGATGGATGTCATATATGTATATATATATATGTCATATGTATATATGATGTCATTAATTGAGAGACGCCCCCTGAGTCCATGTTCCTGTCGTACCTTCACAAGACATCGTGATTCATCGCACCAGGACAGCAGCCATGCTGAAAACCTGCCCTCCAGGGTAGGGAGTTGTTTGGCAGTTTGGTCACAAAGGCTCCTAGTCATAAAGTTATACAAAGTTCGGTGCAGCCGAAGCTACAGAGCTTTGAGAGATGTTGGGTGGAGACGTGATGTCAAATGTTGGACACAGATCCGTGAGAAAGATCCCTAACTCCTGCCTGGCCGCTGCCTTCCAAAATGAAACATGTGTTTTGGCTTTGCTGTTTTCAACGCGACTCTCGACCTGGAAAATGCTCACGGTCAAAACCGCGAAGCAGAAATGTTGGGCACGACCTTTGTTGTAGCCAAGGAACATGCCCTGCTGGCTGAATGCCGGTTGCTATTGGTTGGCAAATTTGTTTGCAGCTTGGACTGTATTCATCTGACATGGTGTTGGGGGTTGCGCATGGTGTGCTTAGACCACAACAGTCCTCAGTGCAAACGGATAAGAGGCACACTGGCCATTTCTCAACTTGATAATGAAGTACTTTCATGCACTTCTTTTTGATATTTTTTGGTTGTGTGTGTAAGGTTTGGGCTCAGTGCTGGCTTCAAGGAAGTACTTCCCCCCTTGTTGTCAGTTAGCTAAACCTAAGTGGGTGCGTTTGGTGCCATACCCACGGGTCTTGACGGAATCTCCGACGAGACCTTTCCAAGCACCTGTGATCCGTGCGCTGCGCTTCTCTTCATCTGGGTGAAGGGCATCACTATTGTGTATGCGCACGTGGTTTTTGATCTTCCTGCTGAACAATTTCTTCTTGGGCTTCAAAGGTGTGAACTTCGCTGGACTTGGTGGCAAGGATTACTCCTTCGCAGCGGCGGTCCCAGAGAAGAGCTCGGGCTGCAGCGCGCAGGCGCTGGTACCTGCACAAGCACAAGAAAGTGGTGCTTACCAAGGTGCAGTTGCAGGCCATTTACAATCGGTTGGCCAAGCATCACTCCCGAGACTCCACCTTTCTCCGAGCCATTGCCGTAGACATGGAGCTCCAACCGTGGAAATGTCAATGTGGCCGCCTCAACAAGAAGGTTGCCCGGACATGCGCTTCATGCCACTGGGGCTATGCGCCAACGCCACAAGATTGGCAATGGAACCCCCAATCATGGCCACAGTGGGACCAGCGGCAGCAGGTGAGACAGCCAAGAGCAAACAGCACGAGATCTACCAATTCGAATCGAACAGATCGATCCAGTCGATCCTATCGTACAGATCGTGGCGACCAAGATGGAGCACAGCCCCCCGACAGCCCCAGACCCAGGGGCGACAGGCAGAAGAGATCCAATCGTCGCCCACGAAGACATCACAAAGGATCATCGGAGGCAAAAGAAGATGCAGATGGAGCCAAGCGATCTCAGGAGCCTGTTTGGTCTTCCAATCTGCCCAGGTTGCAAGCAGTGCCCACTTCTACCCCGACTGCTCCAACATCGTCCTCGGCAGAAGATCAACTGCGCACTTTGACTGGTTTGCTTCGCAAGTCTCCGGATCAGCTCACACCGGAGACTCAGGCCTACCTCACATCTTTGACGGTCAAGGCCACCCATTCCACTGCGAAGTCATTACACAGCTCGGTGACCAAGCTCGAGAAGGCCCAGAATGCCCTGACAGAAGCTCAAGGCGCCAGGCTTCAGCTTCACAGCAAGTGGAGGAACTTCGTCACAGAGGCGGTGGACAGATGGACCCAATCCACCGAGGAGTTCAAGAAGGACGATCAGATATTGGAGGCACAGATCCAGGCAGCGAAAGATGCGCTCGTGGCCATCAAGGAGCAGTATGCTCAAACTCAGACGCAGTTGGGCATCGCTGGATCTTCCTCCATCGAGATCTCCGACGAGGAAGAGAACAAGATGGATGCGGCATCTGCCAAGATATCAGATGGTTTGGTGCAGATGATGGGATCCCTGACCAACCTCAAGCAGACGGCCGATCAGATGGTAGAAGAACAGCAGAAGGCTGCCAAAAGACCCCGTTTGGGCGAGACTGCAACAGAGGACTCGCCTTTTGTCGAGCCCGACAAGATGGAGCCCTAGGGTCTGCTTGTCAAGGGCGTCAACTTGGGACATTTGATGCTGTGGTAGCGTATTGGAGCCATTCCATTTGTGATGAACCTAGTTTCATGTCGACTTGGGCAGCCCGCTTTGAGGGTTTGCAGGCCGCCTTCGATTTGGGACTTCCCACAACGGCTTCCTTTACACCATCACCACAGCGCTGTGGGAAACGCAGTGGTCCCAAAAAGGTTTCCTTCTCCACCACAATTCGATTGCAATTTTGTGCGGCAGAATCGCTGCTCAGCGCTAGCATGGACCTCTCTGAAGAGGCGTTCAACCATTGGCCAGCGAAGCCCTGGTCATTGAGGCAGCGCTCAATCTCAACATCTATGCAACCTCATCCTCATGATGCGCTCTCTGTCGAGATGAAGGGCAACGCATTCTTTCATGACAGTGATGAAGGTTCTTTTGTCCAGACGCCCCCGATCAAGCGTCTGCGAAATGAACATCAAGTACCTGATTGGCAAGCTTTTGGTCGCCAAGGGGATCACAGTGACGACGATACGGATGATGGCTCTTCTGAGCATTCAACTCCTTCGGAAGCTGACCACTCCAGTCAACGCTCGACGTCCTACGAGCCACAGGAGGATGCCACCTCCTACAATGATGGCGTTGTACGCACAGTCCTTCTGTACTGGCGTGAAAATCCGGCCATCCATGCTCAGATCTCCAGTATTCATGCTGAAGGCCAGCTTGCCGAAATTGCAGAGCGTATTGGCATACCTCGACATGAGCTTGTACAAGTCTATCGAGTCAACGTTGAGCTGCCACACATCCCATCGCATATCACTCCTTTGATTGTGCACCACCTCAACGACTTTGTCCCAGGGGAAGCGGTGGCTCTGTGCCTGGTTGATGTGGAGATCCATGGCAACCGACATGAAGTGCACTATGCCTCCTTCCCGGCCGTTGATCGAAGAGTAGTGATTATGCCACAGCGGCTGACGAGACGCTTGATTTTGGAGTTTTCTCTTACTCTTCCATATTGTCAGCGTGTCCAGCATCGTTGTTTGGTGATGTTCAACGACAAGCCACTGCCTCTGCAGGATGATACCCCATTTTGGGCGTCGCACGGCGATTACATTGTGATCCGCGTTCCTCCAGATGAAGCTTGTGCAGATACCACATCCTACCTGATGGAAGATGCTCTTCGTGAAGCTCGAAGGTCTCTTCTTGATTCTCCAATCGCGACTCCACAAGATGGATACTCCCCAAGTTTAGTTCCGTCAGAAGAAATTCGGCATGAGTTTGCTCGAGCTGATGATGAAGATGCAGCTTTGATCCAAACCTCCTTGCCCATGACCTTGCCGCTCACTGATATCTCAGCCAAAATTCTCAATGTCAATGATGCTGATCTGCCCCTTGACTCAGTGGCATGTATCTCCACTGGCACTGCTGACACACAGACTGAGCGAGCACTACCTGATTCTCCCTTGCAGCGACGTCTGAGCTGGACTGAAGAATTTCTTCGAGCGATGGGAGCTCTGCAAACCGCTCAAGAGGATATGCCTGAGTTCCCCGCTGAACAAAATGTCCCAATGGCTGAATTGCCCTCTTGGGTCCAAGAGCTCTGGCCAATTTGGCGCCAATCCGCCCGACCAGGTCCCGGAGCGGTGGAATACATTGCCAGGGTAGAAACATGGTACACAGACCACAGCCGAGTGCAGCATTGCCTTTCATCGCGCATCGTGGTGCTTGGAGCCGACCCATCGTCTTGGGTTACATCCATCCTTGCCGAATGGCGTGATTTGGTTTTGCCTGACTTTGACATCCAGATCACAGCAGTGCTGCCCATGACTGATGACCAGGCGCCCAACATTTGTGCTCAGCTTCTATTGATCCAGAGACCTGACAGGTTCTCACGGTCCATTATTGTCACAGTCTCTGATACTGCAGTGCAACGTGGACTGCCACAATCATGTGCAATTGTTGCGGGCGACCACGTTCGACTTCATTCTGTACTGCTTATGACAGGACTGCTCTATCATTGCCCTCCGGAAGTTCTCACCAATCGCTGCAGGCTCTACTATGGCACTCGAGAGCTCCGTGGTGAAGCATACATCCCGGCGGCACATGGTGATGTCTTCAATCTCATTATCCAACGCGATGTGACAGTCGACATCCACACTTTGATTGGGCTACCTGACCCGCACCTGCGACAACGACTTGCGGCATTGCTTGAACAGGGCATCCATTATCTACATGTACAAGACGGAGAACGACCTGATCTTCCCGCTGTGCTTGCCCCCGATTGGTTTAGTCAGCTGGAACAAGTGTTCGATGCTCATGCAGCCTCTGAGCTTCTTGAAGAAGGACCAATCCTTTATATTCACACTTGGTTTTTGGATGCCCTGACGACCACCAGATGTCCGGTGTCCAGGCCGGTTCGTCTCCTCCAAGACCGCAGAACATGGAGAAGCGCGCTGATTGCTGTGTGGCAAGATCAGATCCACACGCACCAGCCAATTGACTTTGCCTTTGTTGACCCGACACCGCCCCGATTGCCTTGGATGTCACCAACAGCTCATCTTTTGCTGACGCAACGAGCTGATCCTGTCCATGCTTCAGTTTTGGTCAGTGCAATCAATCATCAGGCTGATGATCCAGTCATGATTCAGGCTATGCACTACCTGCCGCAACGGGTATCAGGAGCAGACGTTATTGATGCCCATATGGCCCAAACTTTGAGTGGTCCCTGCCGTGTTCGACGTGGCCCTCATGTTTTTCCAGCCATTCAAGCGGTCCAAATTGGTAATGGAGATAGTCTTGAAATTGACTTGCCTCCTTCGGCCACAGTTCAAGCATCCGCGGATCCAGATGCGCTGAATTTGCTCCAGCGTAAAGCAACTATTACCAGAAGGAAAGCGCACCCGGTGCTTCTTTCACTTGATGCAGTGATCCCTCCAAACCAAGACGCTGACCTGACCAAGATCAGACCTCCAGAAGTGCTTTTTTCTGAAGAAGATGACTGGCACAATCGTCTTTGCGATATGGAGTTGCACTTTGCGCCCTTGCCTGAAAACCTTGACCTGTGTGCAACTACTCTACATGCACTACAGGACCCAGCCAGCTACATCGAGTCCTCCTTTGCTGGACGACTTGCACTATATGTTGATGGCTCCGCCCGAGGCCATGCCGCTGCCTGGAGTGTGATTGCAGTTGAGTATGATGTGCAGGGGCTCCCAACGCTTCTTGGTGCACTTTCTGGACAAGTTGAATTGAATCACAGTTCTGCACAATGGATTGGGGCAACCACTGCCGATAATGTTGCGGCTGAGCTCACTGCCTCCATTGCTGCTCACCTGGCTGCCATTGCCTTGGGACACCCAGCATTTACAGTCATACGCCCTGACTTGAAACTCAGTGCGATGCTCTCCACTTCTACGTGGTCATGCCACTCTCATAGTGAGTTGGTTGCAATTGCACGTTGGCTTGGCACCTGGTTTGCACAAGGAGGAGGCACCTGCAATGAAGTAAGAGGTCATTCGGCCCATCCGTGGAACGATCTTGCAGATTCAGTTGCTCGACATGCCCTGAGTGTTGACACTCCGGTCGGTGCTATTGACTTTGACTTCTGCCACCAGCTGATTATTTCTGGTGATATTGCGTGGGCCTGGACTGGATTGCAGCCGCCATGCTATGCACAATGCCTTCCACCAAATGGCGTTTCAACAAGCTGGCTGGCGCAACCCTCGCTGCGAAAGGTTGGAGCACCACCCGCTAGCAATGTACCCACTGAGGGTCAATGGCACCAAGTCCAATTCACTATTGCGTCTGCCAATGTGCTGGCAATCTCATCCGATCTCCCGGCATTTCCAACTGAGTCTGCATCCTCTCGAGCAGAAAGGCTCGACCAGCAATGGCATCAACAACAGATAGCTGTGATCGGACTTCAAGAGTCTCGCCGTGCTGCAGGCCGCTATGCTACAACCCATTATCATGTGTTTGCCTCGGGTGCTACCCAGGATGGCGGAGCGCCACACGGAGGTTGTGAATTGTGGCTGCATAAGCATTTGCCTTTCCTCAGTGCTCCAGAACAAACACTTTCGTTTGCTCAACTCCGCCCAGCGATTTCATGTGCTGACTCGAGACGTTTGGTTCTCCATCTGCATAGCCCACAATTTAGCTGCTCGTTTGTGGTGCTTCATGCTCCTTGTCGTAGCCAGCACAACTCTTTGGAAGACGTTGCTACATGGTGGAGGCAGACGACTGACCTATTGGACAAAGCCCAGCTTGCACCCATGACCTGGTTATTTGTTGACGCCAATGCTCCTTTAGCGACTGGCGCATGTGAGCACTTTGGTGATCATGGGAGTGAATCCACCAACGAACAAGGTCATCTCTTTGAACAATTTATTCTGACTGGGAGATGGTTTGCGCCCACCACCATGAGTTGGTGTCATATTGGACCACATGCCACCTGGACTCATCCAAGAGGACAACGCCTACGGCGCGACTACGTTTTGTGCAGTGCCCAAGCGTTTCAATGGTGTAATTCCTCGTGGACAGACCAGGCCCATGACGGTGGATTTGCTCATGAAGACCATGTTCCAGTTTGTCTTCAACACTCAGGGTGGTGGTATGTGGAACCGTCAGCTGTACAGCATCAGTGGGATCGATGTGCATTTCTCGATCCAGCAACATGCGATGCTTTCCAGAAGGCCCTTGCCACCTTGCCCGTGCCCAGCTGGACGGTCAACATCAATGATCATGCTGACCATTTTCAACATGGAGTCATGCAGTTGGCCCGCCAGTTCTTTACAAAGAAGTCTGGTGAACGAGTGCGTCCTCGACTATCAGAGCCCACTCTAGCGCTCATTCAGCTCAAGCGCTCCTTCCTTGACTATGCCCGTGCACAGTCCTGTATTCAGGAGGAAGACGTCAAGACTGAACTGCGCTCTCTGGAAAGAATCATCCGAGCTCGCGTGCAAGCCGATCACAGACTCTTTTATGACCAGCTGGTGCACCAACTGGCCCAAGATGGAGCTCTTCATGACTTTCGTTCGGTATATCAGTTGCTGAGTCGACTTGGTGGACGACCACGCCATAAAAGCGGCAAAGGGCGGCCCCTACCGCTGTTGAAAACCGAAGATGGAAGGGTGGTCACTTCATTTCAAGATCAACAACGATTGTGGCTCCGGCAATTTGCTGCGGTCGAAGGTGGAGTGCCAGTGGCTCGGCAAACATTGCCGACACTCATGCCTGCTGCCCTGGGACTTCCTGCCGAGCGACTTGATCTCGCTGCTATTCCCACATGCGAGCAGCTGGCATCCAAGATTCGTAAAATGAAAAGAGGCAAAGCTCCAGGTCCTGATGGCCTGCCGGCGGAAGTCTTCAAAGCCGGAGCTTTACCCATGCTGCATCATGTGGTCGCGATGACGACCAAGACAGCCATTCATGCTCGTGAACCCAACAGCTGGCGTGGTGGACGCCTTATTCCGCTGCACAAGGGCAAGACAGCCAGGTCAGATCCGACCGGCTACCGCTCCATCTTTGTGAGCAATTTTGTCACCAAGCTCTACCACTCGGTTCTTCGAGACCATTTAGTAGACGTTTGGCATAATGCCCTTTCTCACTTGCAGTTTGGTGGACGAAAAGGATGCAGCTCTGATACTCCTCATCTACTGGTACAACAGCATTTTGAATATGCCCATGCCAAAAAGCTGCCATCTGCTGCCTTGTTTGTAGACTTCAAGTCGGCGTTCTACACTGTCATCAGGCAAGGTCTTTTCTCCGACAGCCTAGATGAAACCACGTTTATTGTGGCCATGCATCGGCTTGGAGTTGCCCCGCAAGACTTGGTTGAGCTACTTTCCACGGCCGCTCAGGATGAAGCCACCAAAGGCTTATCCTCGCATGTGCAAGCATTGCTCACAGACCTGTTCCGTGGTACATACTTTGAGCTGGATGGCCTATCTGAAGTTGCTTTGACTTCGCGTGGCACGCGACCAGGGGATCCTGTGGGTGACATCCTCTTCAACCTCGTGATGGCCATTGTGCTCAAGGACATCACTTGTGCGCTTCAAGAGACATCCTCAGCAACGTGGCTTGGCTCTCCCACACCTGTGGAAGCGCTGCACCATCACGCTGAGCCCCCTGTGTTTGCCTTTTATGAGGTTGCTTTCGTAGATGACTTAGCAGTGCTCATGCGAGCCGCGGACATTGAGCAGCTCCTTGACTTTGCGGCACAGGCCCTGCAGGCCGTGCATGATGCAGCGGGAAAAAGGGGATTATCCCTCAACATGCAAGCCGGCAAGACTGAGCTCATTTGTGCCCTCGTCGGCCCTGGAGCCCGGAAAGCCAAAATCCAGTTGGCGAGCCAGCAAAACTTGCATCCGGTCACATTGGGTGGACAGCTTCATCACCTTCGATTGGTCCATGCTTACAAGCATTTGGGCGGTTGGGTTCATGCTGACGCGCAACCTCGCCACACAGTCCGGGAACGGCTGACTTCGGCACGCCAAGCATGGGGCCCTTTGGTTCGACCGTTTTTTCGCAAATCTTCGGTCCAATTGTCCACAAAGGTCATGGTTATTCAATCGCTGGTGGTTTCGAGGCTCACCTACAACATGCACGTGCTCACGAAGCTTTCACCTCGTGTTCTTCGAGAATGGGAAGCTGGCATGCGATCCATGATTGCGCCTTTGGCCCGGCCCTTCTTGCTGGGACTCCCGCCTTTTCAGTTCACGACCACTACCTTGTGTGGATTGATCGGAGTATTAGCGCCGACTGACCAATTGCATGTGAATAGATTGCGCTACGTGAAACGATTGGTGCAACATTGTCCAGCGGTTCTTTGGAACCTTTTACATGCGTTGTCAGATGCTCCTTACTCCTGGATCTCCTCTTTGCGTGAATCATTGAGCTGGCTGTGCAAGCACTATGGCCCCAATCGTCTTCCTGGACCAGATGCACCCTTTGAGGACTGGTGGTCGCTTATTGCATTAGCTGAGCGCTGGAATGGATTCGTCAAAAGAGCCGCCCGCGCTTGTTTGTCCTTTAACAAAGCAGTCGCTCAACAACTGGTTTGGGAGAAGAGCGTCGAAGCCCAATTATTACGAGATGGTGCGCTTGCCCCTTTGGACCAAATGCCGGCTCTGGCGGAGCCCTGGGCGTGTGAGAAATGTGAGTTGGTTTTTGCATCGAAGAAAGCCCTCGCAGTCCATGCGGCCAAAGTCCATCAATATCGTGCCCTTGTTCAACACTTTGCCATTGATGGCACCTGTCCCTGCTGTTGCCGAATTTTTCACCAGCGGAGTCGCCTGATGGCTCATTTACGGACGATGCATTCTTGCATGGAGCAGCTTCGCGCTTGCTTTCCTCCGTTGACGGAAGTGCTGATTCGAGAGTTGAATGACTTGGATGCTGCTCACACCCGTGAGATGAAAGCCCATGGTTGGTTTGGCACCAGAGCTCTTCAACCTGCGCTACGAGGATTTGGCCCTTCTTTGCCTGCACCAGGGTCACCGGAAGCGGCATTGATGCTCAGCAAGTGGACCCTTCGCCGACCTCCTGATCAAGAACCTATGTTCGAAGCCTTAGCTGGACATTGCGACGCTCCGGCAGGCGGGAATAATAACCCTGAGGTCAGTGAAGCGGAGTCGTCTGACTCCATCCGCTTTGTTGTTCAAGCCACGGGCAACATTGGAGGCAAGGATGGTCATTACGAAATGGGAGGCCTTGCGCGTCTTCATGCAGCATTGCATATTCGCACGTTGTGCTTCATCCACTTTTTCAGCGGATACAGGCGAGAGCACGATCTCCAAACCTGCATCGAAGGTCATTGGGTTCAAGGCATCACCCAGCTCTTCTGCGTGTCGGTCGACTACTGCCTGCAGAATGCCAATGGAGACCTCACTTCAGAGGTCAACCAGAAATGGTGGAATGACCGCATCTGCAGTGGGGCTATCTGCGGCGTTGGAGGCGGCCCGCCATGCGAGACGTACAGTGCTGCTCGTCTACTACCTGACGGCCCACCACCGCTACGTTCCCATGACCATATTTCTGGCCTGCCATGGAACTCACCCAAAGGTTGGAAGCAGACGGAGCTAGGGAGCATTCTCATGAGGTTCATTTTGCAGATGCTCATGCTTGTCGCTAGGATTGGAGGGTGCGCCTTCTTGGAACACCCCGCCTTTCCGACCTGGGCGATCAAACACCGACCGTCTTCCATTTGGTCGACAAAGGTGGTGAGGTTTTTGCGCAGATTGGCTTGCACCGAGATCCTGACGCTGGACCAGTGCATCTATGGATGTCCTGCGCGAAAACCTACAACCCTTATGCTGGTGCGCATGCCTGGAATGGTGGCACGGACTCGTGCATTGGGAAGAGGTGGCCGCTGCCCTCATGCATGTGGATGGCATCAAGCATTGGCAGGGCGCAATGAGCAGGGCGCCTTTCATACCTCGGTAGCGAAAATCTATCCACCGCAATTGAATGCGGCATTGGCGCAAAGCGTCGCAGATTTTGTGCTTGACCTCACAAGCACCGGACAAAGGGTTGAGCCCTTGCCCGAGGATTTTTGGCTGTTGCAGTCCTTCGACTACGTCGACCGCACACAGGTGCAACCCGATCAGTACGGGTAGGTCGCAGTACAGGAAGGACTCCAGCTTTGCAAGCACCAAGCAATGACTGCAGTATTCTGAAAGGAAAAGGAAAAAGGTTGTGTGTGTATCTTGATAGATAATGAAGTATACTTCTTTGTGTCAGCTCAGAAGTTTGCTGGAGGCCATGAGCTTCCTGTACCGTTTGCTGGCGCAATCTCGAGTCGGAAAGCAGGAGTATGTCTACGCGAACCTCGGATGCACAGGACTTCAACACAACACCATGCCGTGGCTGGTTTGACACCAGTTTGCACCATGCCCGCGCTCAGGAAGAGGTGCTTCAATATTGTGTGCTTTGGCCAAAATGCTGCCAGGGCAGCTGGTTGACATGTTATACATGTTCTTGATGTCGGGTGGCGATGCACCATCGCAAAGGTATGAAATAATATGAAATAAGATGAAATTCAGAGGAGCCATAGAGGTCAAGGGTGCGAAAAGACATTAGTCCCAGGATGTCCCAGGTTTCCGGGCATTTCTAGGTGCACCTGGAGCTGAGCTAAGGAGAGGAAGGCTGTGAGTTTCAACCTGGTGACATGTACAGCTGGTCACAGAGGGATGCGCCAGCACCCTGGATTTGGATAGCCTCCCAAGGGGATGGTGCTGTCGAACAATCCTTAAACACCCCTGGGTGCCAATCCTTTACAGTAGTCTCACGATGTCTCACGCTGCCGTGGAGGGCAATGTGAACGCGCAAAAATAGCAATCATATGCAATCATAGAAATCGCTGCAAAAGTTGGCTTATGGCTTATTATTGTTTAAATTACACATGAAATTGCTGTATCCGGAAAGAATATACTTGAGAGTATCTGGAGTGCCAGGTTTCAGATCCAAAGTGGATATTATACCATATACTGCACATCCATATACATAATATAATCATATCTAGATACGTTTGGAGTTCCCTGCTTGAGGCTATCGGCTATCAGATCTATTCTGCAATTTGATGTCAGTGCCTGGAACATAGTCCCAGTATGTCGTCAGGTGGTCATCGAAGGACTACGTGGACGCGACACCATTTTATCTCTGAAAAAGAAACTCATCGAGGACTGAAAAAATCGCCGATTGATCACAATTTTGACAGCTGAACGTAGTGGAGTGATGTGATATGATGCGATTTGTATTTATTTATATATTTATTTTATGTTTTCCCACTACTTTTTTTTCTCCCACAGTTGAATGTCGAGTGCTTCTGTGTCTCTTCTCGGTCATTCAATGTCAGACACTGGGACAAGTTTGCGGCACACATGAGTATCATACCTTTCAGCGATCACATTTCTCAGTCAACAAAAACTTTTCAGACGGAGCCGGAGAAATGCTAGGACGGATCAATTGACGAACGATCGCCTCGAATTTTTCTTCCTCCCCATGAGTTACAGGACTTGACATGTTGCACATATTCACAATCTGGCAGTCAGTAATGCGAGTGTGAGTTTGACCTGTCTAATGTATATTTTGTATAGCCAAGTGATCACATGCCCCCGTTGACATTTGGCTTTAGGGCCCTTGAGTCATACCGCGCTGCCGTGGTAAAAGTTGGGCATTTGACGATCCCGTTTCCAATTCATATTGGTAGCGGAGCAGGTGACGACCTGCATCCGGTGGTACGTCAGTGACCCAGGGAACCCTTTGTGAATTTGAGTCTGGTAACTTTGGGAATCAACTGAACTTCGAGTGTGTCGTGGTTCGGGAATCTGTCTGACCCTGACCAGGGCAGACACTTGTTAACGTTTTTCCTTGTTCGACTCCGAACGGAGCGAGCATCATGTCGATCAATGGCCTTCGTTTCAATCAGGAACGCCATTCGTCGGCACCACTTGAGACGAAGAGTGGATCATACATCTATGCAGGTGATGCGGCGAACTTTCATGATTGGCAGTTCAGGACTCTCCTTCGGATTCGTCTTTATGAGCAACAATTGGAGGAGGAGACAAGTAAGCCTGCGGATCCCGTTGGGACCACAGCAACAGAGCCAGCCGCAGAAGATGCAGAAGAGTATGCTACTTTTCCAGATTTGTCGGGTGCTACTCAAGCAGCCCAGCCTACATCAGCAGTCTCGACTCCGAAGTCTGGAGCGAGCCGAAAATCCTCGAAGTCCGGCAAGCAGAAGACAGACATTGATCGTGGACCATTGGTTAACAAGGTGATTGAAGGACTGAGAGGAGATGCTTTCTCAATAGCTAGGGATCTTGGACTTGAAGTGTTGTCCAAACCTGGTGGCCTTGTGAAACTTGTGGGTGAGATCAAATCCCATGTGTTTCCCAGAGCCCGTGAGGAAGCCAAGGAATTATTTCGAGCAGGACAGAAGCAAGGTGGTCCTTTGTCTCGCCAACCAGGCGAACCCATGCTTTCCTATGTTCAGAGGAGACGACGTTGGTGGCACATGCTATGCGAGTTGGATGACACAATGATGTTTTCAGACAGCTTGAGGACAGAGTTGATGTTGGAGTTGAGTGGGCTCAATCGACAGGAGATCCTCGTTGTGAAGGCCTGTGCAGACACTAAGGATTTTGAAGGTGTTGGCAAGGTGCTGATCGAGAACTACAGTGGCACTCACTTGCGAGAAGGGTCACGATCCTGGACAGGACGTGGTAATCCTCAACAGCATGGCAAGTCGTCAGGCAAGGGTTATGGCAAAGGCAAACCTTCTTCGAAGGGATCGTATTCCCAAGCAGCCTATGCAGCCTACCCCGATGATGGGGAGGAACATGCAGAATCTTGGGATGAAGCTGCGGATCAATCCTGGGAGGATGATTCATATGTTGGCATGCTTGGTGACATTGCAGAAGAGGAGCCAGGAAACCTAGAAGGTGACAACGAATTTGATTACTTTGACGACGTCGATGAGTACGAAGCAGTTGCATTGAACAGCTTGCTTGAAGTTGAAGGTGCAGAAGACGATCGACAAGCAGGAGACGCCATCCAGCTACAACTTGCTGCTTTCACCGCAATGGGGAAAGCAGGTGGCAAGGGCAAATCCTTCGGGAAGCCCAAAGGAAAGGGGAAAGGAAAGATCGTGAAGTCCAACCTCACGATCGATCAGAGGAGACGGAAGCTCACCGAGCTGAAGTCGAAGAGCAAATGTTTGAGATGCGGAGTCATAGGGCACTGGGCCGGTGACCCGGAATGTAAATTCCCGGGGTCGAAAGCCGGAGCCCCTGGAAAGTCAGCCCCAAAGCCCGCAGCTCACTTTGCCGACATGAGCGATTCTTCAGATGACGATGGTGTGACTCTGACAGCTTCACCTGATCGTGACAGAGATGGAGTTGCTATGATGGCAGTTCGACAAGCGAAGCCTAGCAGTCGACCTTCACGTGCAGCAGCATCCAGCAGCAACGTTGGCTTGATTTCCCGGGATCTCGATATTACAATGAGACCCGAGGACCATGGGTGCATCTTTCCTGTTGGACAGTTCAAGGGTTTGTCTTTTTGGAATGTGCTGTTTGAACAGACAGGGTACTATCATCATGCCAAGAAACACACCCCCAAGAGTCCATACTATGTCACATGGTTGAATTGGGTTGACAAGTACTTTGTGGTTGGTGCTGATGGGATTCACTTGCGCGAAGTCCCTGTTGAGCATGTCGAGCACCGAGATTTGTTGGTGGCTCGGGGAACTGGCAGAAAGAAACCCCCAAATCCTCCTTTGCCGAACAAGTGTCAGGAATGCCGTGAGTTTACAAAACAAGGTTCTACGGGGTACACCATCAGGAAGACCTGTCTTGTGTGCGGTCATTCCGAAACAACAAGGCGTGACATGGTACCGTTGATGTCCCCTGAAAATTGCCCTCATGATGACACCGATTTTAGGGGATCCAGCAAATCAACACACCGTACTTTCTGCAAGAAGTGTTGCACGTTCATTGATGAAGCTCCTATGCAGATTCGTAAGGAGCGTGTTGCAATTGCCAAGAAGGTTGAAACAGCATCAGTTCGAGCAGTCCCCATTGTTGAATCATTGGTTGAAGAATCGGATGGATTGAATCCAGTCCAGTTGGAAGAGTTGTTACCCTTGTTTGCCACTCTTGTTACCGAAACCTGCCAATCTGAGGTGATGACCCGTGCACGTCTTCATGAACTACTGCATCAAGCCATCAATGACGTGACAGAGGAAGAGGACAGTTTTTCTCTTGTCAATGAAGATGGGCACGGCGACCCCTCGGGCAGGGAGTTAGCTGGGTACGTTGGCATTTGTTTGCATGGAAGTGACACTCAATACCCTCAAGACTTGGTTTACATGAACTATGAAACTGTTGACATTGCCAAGTCACCCCATGTTTTTGCAGTATTGGATGAAGGTTGCAACAGCACTTGTCATAGCAAAGCCTGGGCAGTCGATGCAGAAGCACGACTGGCCCGATTAGGTTACAGCATGCCATTGAAGGATGACGGTTGTAAGAGTTTTGCTGGTCTGGGAAGTGGTAGTACCAAGACCGAAGGTGTGAGATCTATTCCTTTTTCGCTGCTGCTTCCAGACGGGAACATGCATGGGGAGTTGGATTCATATCAATTGTCAACAGGCAACAGCCCATTGCTTCTTTCATTGCATGCGCAAACCAAGTTAGGCCTAGTGAAGGACCTAGCAAAAGGGGTGATTTCCATCAAAGATCAACCATTGAATATCAAGAGATGTTCCAAATCAGGTTTACTTGTGATGAACTTGACTGAAGGATTGACCAACATCAACAACACACCGTCGGATGAACTTCCCCAAATCCCGAAGTGTCACAGAAAGTACAATATCGCATACACAGCATCCACATCGGAAGTTGCCATGGCTGACCATGACATGTGTGGTTTTCATTCGAGGGACTATGACATCTTGCAGACGAAGCTGAACGAAGAGCTGCGCAGTGACAGAAAGGTGGTCATCATGACTCGTGGACGCAGATTTCAACAACATGCATGCAGATCTAGCAGGAACACTTTGAGCATCAACTGTGAAGACATTTATGATCCTGATCAGGACATAAATCTTAGATCTCATGTGGGTTGGCATCATGGAATCCTTGAGACTATGAGCAAGGTCGACAAGTTCATCCAACATCTCAACAACATCCTCCAGTTTGTCACACAACAGGAAGCCGACAGTAAGGTGCTGGTGGATTTGGAATGCAAGTCGGGTCGCCACAGGTCAGTGGGACAGGGATTTGCTGCCTACAGGTGTCTCAAGGTCCTTGGTTATGACGTTGTTCTCATTCATGCATCATCTTGGATGTGGGGAGAGATGCGTTGTGGTGGAGTTTGTCATGGATGTAAGGACATGGCTGCGAGCTTGGGACAAATTCGACATTTGATCCCGAACATGTCAAGGTTGGCACGATCACGAGGCAATGTGGCTTCAAGCCGTGACGTGCGCGATGCTCCAGCCGATGATGTTTCAGGTGGACATTCATCTCATCCTACATCAGATCACCCCGCTGCAGGACATCCTACATCAGATCAACTTGATGAGATTAGACGTTTGGTACAAGGGCTTGCAACAGATGTTGGACATCTTAGGACAGAACAGGTTGAGATCAAAAGGATGGCCGAGACCGGAAGGAGATCAAGGAGTCCATTGCGTCGACGGAGATTACCGACGCCACCGTCGCCACCCGCAAGGCGCAGAAGATCACCAAGTTTTCGTCGCAAGTTACCTCCTTGGAGACATGCACAAGCATCCAGGGGAAGAAGTCCATCGCCGAGGCCACTATCTGCGAGGCCAGCTCCCAGGAGCCCAGACCATCCTCCACCGCACATTTCGGACGTGCCAGGGACCGATGACGGATCCCGATCTTCAGGGGCCATGGATGGACCTCGGACTTCAACGTTGCCACAACGATCTCGAGAGCCTCCCAATGATCGCGATGAGCTTGAGCGACTGATCCGAAACAATTTGGCATCAGATGGACCGTTTGACAACAAGAACGTGTCAGTGAAGACATTGGACGGCGAGCTCCTTAGCGAAGTTGTGTCTTTTTGCATCCGTGAGGGTAACAGGGATCGGCTCTTTTGGATTTGCAAAGATGGAGAAGACCCACTGGTGGACGGAGTTCGCATGAACGTCCTGATTCGAGATCATATCCGGCCAAATCGGATTGTCAAGGTCTCGAATGGCATCAAGCACTGGAAGCGATCTACATGGTGTCGACCTCGCAATGGAGGCGACTGGGAACTCATTGAAGACAACGTTGATAGCAGGGCAACAGTGCGTTTGAGCAACTCGTGGATCGATGTGATTGTGTTTCACCACCCACCTGGGGTGTTCGATGACTCCGGGAGGGGAGCATACATGAGCGTTCGCGTCAGGTTGACCCCCAACAAGAAAATACGGGACATAAGGGATGATTTTGAAAAGTCTTTGAATCCAAAAGTTGAGATGAAATCCTCAGAACCCAAAAGAATGTACGCAGTGAAGTCGAAGCCCCAGCCAAAGGTCTTGACGCCCAAGTTGGAACAAGATGATTCCGATTCATATGAATAAGACTATGAGTATTCTCCCACTGGTTTCATGGCTGTACGTTTTGACTCCAATGTTGATTTGACAGTCCATCCTGATGAGAGGAGGACCATGAGCAAGAAACACAGGAAGATGGTGTTGGAAGGTATCAACAATCTCAACAACCATGACCGGGTAATGCAGTCCAGTCTTGGGATGCAGCCTCAAGTTTCCAATGGTACTTCAGGGGTTGCAGTCATCACGTCGCATCCGACTCTTTTCCAGGATTTTTTCGAGCACACCTATGACGTTGGCATGAATGCTGCGTACTTGGACGGTGATGCTGAGCAACACGGTTGGAAAGACATGTTCGAAGGTTGCACATTGGTCATTGTTGCAATTGAATACAAGTCAGAACATTATCCACTGTGTCATGGGGATCTTGTATTTGAGTTGGAACAGTATTGTGATGCCACAGGGTGTAGGTTTCTCATTGTTGATGTCGCACACACTGAACGATGGGAATCATTCAAAACACCACAGATACCATACATCAATGAAGTTGGTCTTGCTTTTGTGTCAAATGATGATGAACTCATTCAAGGTTTTCAAGATTGGTCTATGTATCGACAATTGGATGACGTTTTGAATTGGGAGTTTTGTCAATGGATTCGTGATTGGTCACTTGAACGTGAATTGGAGGAGCAGATGAGCGTTGCCTTTCCAGCAGAGATCATCGAAGAGGCTCAGGAACATGGTGGGAACTGGGATGCAGTCGATGGCCCAGAAGATGTTGCATTGCAGGATCCAGTTGAGGACCTGACACATGAAGAGACCCTTTTGGATGATGTTGATATCCCTGGATTGCCAGAGGATGAAACAGAAAGGCGTAGGTCTTGGCGCAAACTTCCCCAGCGTGTCAGGATTGCTGTGCGTAGGTTGCACAGGGCTTTTGGACATGTCCCCAAGACGGTGATGGTCAATTTGGTGCGTGCTGCAAAGGTGAGTAAGGAGTTTGTTGATGCAGTGAATTGCATAGATGTGAAACATGTGAGAAAACATCAGCAAAGAAACCCACTCACAAAGTCACGCTTCCAAGTGATTATACATTCAACCATACTTTGTGGATTGATGTACTGGAGTTGACAGATGTAACTGGGCAAAAGTATCAAGTTCTCAACATGGTTTGTATTGGCACTTGTTTTCAACAGGCTGAAGTTGTGAAGGTTGGAGCAGGTCAAGCTTCTTCGCGATCCTGTTTGGACGCACTTATCAAACGTTGGTTCAGTTGGGCAGGACATCCTGTTGCTATCATGTGTGACCGTGGATTGCACAATCGTGGTGTCTTGCAACAATACATGGATGAACACAACATTCAAGTGCACCATGTGCCCCTTGAGAGCCCGGAATCATTGGGCCGAGTAGAGAGGCATGGTGGTTTGTTGAAAGCTCTTTTCAGGCGAGTGTGTACAGAAGTTGGGGCTTGTACCAAAGAACAGGTTGAGTCGTGCATCACACAGGTGCTCAGTGTGAAGAACGACTCTGCACGTGTTGGAGGTTTTTCTCCATCTCAGTGGGTGCTTGGTCGAGCTCCCCGTGGTGTAGCTTCACTCATGTCTGAGGAAGACCATGCACAGCTCGGAGCCATTCAGGCCCGACATGATCCTTCATCAATTTTTGCATTACAACATTTGGCCAGGATTGAGGCACAAAAGGCATTTGTTCATCTTGATTGTTCAAGAAGAGTTCAGAGAGCGTTGACACGCAATGCCAGTGTGTTTGACCGTGAGTTCAACATTGGTGATCTCGTCACTTTCAGACGAGACAATCAGCGAGGAGGAACGTCTTGGTCACCAACATGTCGTGTGATCGGACACGAGAACCAGAAGAACATATGGTTACTATGTGGTAACGTTCCGGTACTTGTAGCTTCTCACAACATACGCATTGCTTCTCCTTCTGAGGCTCTTGCTCAATCAGTGTTGAATGGTGAACCTGTGATTCCATACAAGATCATCAATGATACAGGTCAACAAGCATTTCTTGATGCAAGACAATCAGATGAGGTTGAAGTTGTTCGTGATGGTCCAGGACAATCAGATGATGTTGAAGTTGTCCATGAGGACAATGTGGATTCAGCACTCCCTCCTATACCAGAAGTATCTGAAGATGAATGGGACATACGACCCGGTTTCTTTGAAGAAGGTGAAGAGGAGGAAGACACTGGTCCTATGGAAGAAGACATCTTTTCACAGAGTAGAACCCCAGAAAGAAGAGTTGAAAGACCACATCCAGGAGATGGAGGTCATGAACGGAATGTGAGACCTCGAGTAGAGTCTCGCTTACAACCTGAGTCGGAGAGAGGCTCATCATTTGTGCCATCTCGGAGAGACTCCTTTGTGCCTGATCTTACTCCAAGTGGCTCCGTTTTGGGAGCACCACTATCCTCGCCGTCAGCATCATCTTGGCCATTGCGAAGGGAACTTTTGAATGACTTACCACATCAATTGCGAACACATCTTGAAAGAGCTCGTGAGAGAGACTCAGAACGAAGTCCTGAAGAACAACAAGAAGCACGAGCATTGTTTGCATCATTTCTGTCCCAGGAAGTTGGAGTTCCTGAGGACGAAGAGCAAGGTAAGAAGGTGTTGAAATCAATCCACTATGAATCAGCGTCACCTGATGTACAGAAGAACATCATGGATGCCAGAACCAAGGAGTGGAACAAGTTCCTTGAGTTCGCTGCTGTTGTTGAAATTCCAAAAGAAGATGCAGAGAGATTGATTGCAGAAGGACATCAATGTATTCCTAGCAAGTGGGTTGATGTTGACAAGAATCAGTTTATGAAGGGAAGAGCAGATCAAGAATATGTGCCAAAGTTCAAGAGCCGGTTGGTATCATGCGGCAATTTCGAAGTCAGTGAAGGTTTGAGATCAGACAGTCCTACAGCAGATACGGAAGCTCACAACATTCTTTGCTGTTGGGCGGCGATCCAGGGCGCACAATTGCACAGTGCGGACGTCGCATCCGCATATTTCCAAGGTCGTCCTCTTGATAGAGTTCTCATTATGAGACAACCCCGAGGAGGTCTCCCGGGAGTTGATCCAGAGGTGTTTTTCCTTGTGCGGGTGCCTATATATGGATTGACTGACAGCGGTCGAGGTTTTTGGTTGAGGTTGGACGGAGATGCCCGATCCAGTGGCTTGAAACAATCCAAGTTTTACCCAGGATTGTATTTCCTTCCAGGAACCGACAAAGATTGCGTTGCACTTATGGCGACACATGTAGATGACATCTTGTACGCATACATTCCTGAGGGAAAGTCAGTGATCGACAGCTTCTTGGAGAAGTTCAACTTGGGATCAAGTGAATCAAATTCGTTTCGCTATTGTGGCAAGCAATTTGAGCGTACTGCAGATAGAACAATCACACAAGACACTTGTGACAACACCCGTCGCATCAAGCCGATCAAGATCGCGCCAGGAAGATCAGCGTCCGAGCCGTTGGGTAAGGATGATGTGACCCGATTACGATCTGTAACGGGATCATTGGCATGGGTGGCAAGGCAGACTAGACCCGATTTGGGTTATCGTGTGAGCCGCCTACAGTCCAGTATTTCTGGAGCGACAGTTGCTATTTTGCACGACGCAAATGCCGTAGTACAGCTGGCACAACAAGGCATTGAGAACAAGCTCATTTTTCCAGGTGGACATCTAACCTGGGGAGAGGTTGGTATCATTACAGTGACAGATGCTTCATTTTCAAACGAGAAGAACTACAAATCACAACAAGGACGTTTCCATTTTCTTGGAGACATCAATGGGATCAAAGACCCCAAGACTACATCCTACAGGGTGATGCCATTGGGATTTGCATCAAATACAATTCGGCGAGTATGCCGCAGCACTCTTCAATGCGAGGCTTATTCACTGCAAGCTGGACAAGAGAGCGGTGACAAGCTACGTGGAGCATTGGCCGAACTGATGGGCCAACTTGACTCGATGAAAACATGGTTGGATGACAGCCGCAGCTGTATTCCACAACTAATGCTTTCAGACTGCAGGTCTTTAACAGACCATCTTGCGAATGAGGTACTCGGCAGGGTCGCAGACAAACGACTCGGCATTGAGTTGCAGTCGATTCATGAGTCACTTTGGCAGACGGCCGGAGGACCTGGGATATGCATCATGGCGGAGGAGACATTGTTACCTGGATTGCTACAGGGACTATGGTCTCGGATGCTCTGACCAAGAGCATGCGCCCGGACCTCATTATCCGCGTCTTGAAGGAGTGCATTTACCGTGTACAGAAGAAGCCTTAGAGCCAACTTTTTCACTAGCATCATGTGATCCTTGAAGAACAGGTTGAGTGTGAGTTTGACCTGTCTAATGTATATTTTGTATAGCCAAGTGATCACATGCCCCCGTTGACATTTGGCTTTAGGGCCCTTGAGTCATACCGCGCTGCCGTGGTAAAAGTTGGGCATTTGACGATCCCGTTTCCAATTCATACGAGTAATGCTCGCAGGCGGTCGTTTTGCCATGTCTTGCTAGCGTTTCGATCCATTGCGGATAGGGTATGAGAAGGCCTTGTCATCGTAATTAATTGCGCATATTATTGTATAATATATTGTGCACATTGTGCACTACAAGGCCCGGGGGGAATCAGAGATGGACAGAGCACAAGCATGACATGGGGACGGCTTCGCTGAGGATGAGACACGATTGGGTGAGTGCTATGTGCAGTGGCCGGGCTTCGGCCTGGTGAAATCCTTAGTTGTCAGTTCTCATGGGCGCTTCAGATTCGGATTGCACAATCATTGTGCAAACGCACAGTGCAGGGCATGAGATTGCATTGGCAGTCCTTGAATGTCATAGGACAGTTGGCCACCAAAGTTTGTGGCCAAGCAGAAGCTAAAGGCCTGACTCGCATGTTTTTTGTGTTGGGGCAATACGATTGATAGTGGTTTTGACGGAAATCGATATTATGGTCAATTTCTTATAATTCCCCACCTGCCAGGTGAGGGTTGTTAGATTTTATGTCAGTTGCCTGGTCCTCCTCGTCCTCCTCGTCCTCCTCCTTCTCCTCCTCCTCCTCCTCTCGTTGTCCTCCTCGTCCTCCTGCTCAACTGCGACTCGCGATCCACAGTGTTCTCTGTCGGACCTCACCACGACCATCCACGCCCAGTGTTCCCTGCCGGACCTCAACCACGACCATCCACGCCCAGTGTTCCCTGCCGGACCTCAACCACGACCATCCACGCCCAGTGTTCCCTGCCGGACCTCAACCACGACCATCCACGCCCAGTGTTCCCTGCCGGACCTCAACTACGACCATAGCGTGTTCCCTGCCGGACCTCAACCGCGAGTATCCACGCCAAGTGTTCCCTGCCGGACCTCATGTAGGAAGATAAAATGTCAGATAGAGTGCCAGAAGATTTGCCAGGTAGAATGCCAGAAAATATGCCAGAAAGAATGCCAGATAGATATGCCAGAGGCCAGAAGATATGCCAGATAGAATGCCAGATAGAATGCCAGAAGATGTCAGAATATATGCCATAGAATGCCAGATAGAATGCCATAATAGAATGCCAGAAGATATGCCAGATAGAATGCCAGAGATAGATTTGCCAGATAGAATGCCAGAAGATATGCCAGATAGAATGCCAAATAGAATGTCAGAAGATATGTCAGATAGAATGCCAGAAGATGTGCCAGTAAGAACATGTATAAATGTCATGGTGGGGATCACACGAAGTAAAGTAATTTCTGGGCCTGCTTGAATCCCTTGCGACATGCAGTTTTATCATCAACAGAGTACAGATCTTCGACCTTTTTTTGACCCCCTTTGGCAGGGCTTCGAGATGATAGTGAACATGCCTCGGCCTGAAATGACTGGGATTCTCCTCCACATGTTCCACCAAACCTTCAGCAGACATGCTCTCAAGCCGAAGTTGCAGGTCAGGGTGTCTTTCAGTCTCAGTCCTTTCCATGTGGCATTCATTCCAGACCCGTGGAAGTGGATCAATTCTGCGCCCAGAACCGCGATGGATAACGCAGTCTGGGAGATTGTGAAGGGCAAGAGAAAACTCAAGAAGTTCTGTGCAAGGCAGGAGAATCTCCGGCCGAGAAAAAATCGTCCAGCCTTTGCCTTTTTCTCTCGGAATGGAAGCCTACGGTCTTGTGGTGCTTTAGAGTGCTTTCACTCTGTATTTGATCCCCACTACTTATTGTCCATCAGTTGTGTGAATTTGCCTGTGTATATTAATTTATATTAAATATATTAAATTATATTTTGCTGTATGCTCATGCAGAACCTGGTTTGCTCTGCACTAACGGACAGAATTTCTGTGATTCTGTTGGAAGTCCTAGGGATTTGCATGGGGAGTAGTTTCCTGTGGCTCCCGCAGCAGGCGTTTGGTCTTGGACTTGAACGAAAACACCACGGTGGGAGAGCTGAAAGCTCTCATCGAGTCCGAGTCTCAGAAAGTGGCAAGATACAAGTTAGATCAACTTAGTGTAAGTTAGTGTTATTGCTTGATTTTGCCATATATTTTGCCTCAGCTTTTCACTGAGAAGAAAACAGGGTCAACATGTAAAGCATATTAGTACTTGGTGGCTCATCCCACTTAGTAAGTGGGTTATAACCCCAGTTATAAATGGGATAAGTAAGGTTAATCCACTTATGACTGGGGTTATAACCCACTTACTAAGTGGGATGAGCCACCAAGTATTTAGAAGTGTTTGGTGGTTCGAGTCATTGCATTCAGTATCAATCACCTCCAGGCAGGCTTTGTCCTGCTGAATTCCTTGAGTCAAATTGGACAAAATTTCGCAGCATGACCAGTCGTGTTGCCTGGAACATGACCCTCTCTCTCAAGCCAATCATTGACTTATATATATAAATATATATATATATAACTAAGTGCAGGGCTAGAATTTCCCAAGTCTGAAGGCCCCGTACCCTGATATTGTGCTGCTTGGTAGGCCAAGCATGACCAGTGGCACCCCCTGAGGCAATATGTTGGCATTCCATTTGTATCTCGGCAAAAGTCCGAAATACTCTGGGGTAGTTGGTGCTTTGTCAGCAAGCGTCTGCAATTCCACGGAATGCCAAGTTCAAGTAAAAGGCTTCTAGATTGGACTTGGTTGACTTTTTTCTGTCAGTTTCCAGTTGAATTGTGTTTGCAAATCACCAAGGGTAGGCAGATCCTTTCAGCGGAAGTGGATGGAACCTTCTTCGGAAGCGCTGAAGGCACGGAACTGGCAATGTTACTGTTGCTTCCTGTTGATCAAGCAGATTTGATTTCCTCAGGAGAAAATTGTGGATCAAGGTTGTTACGTTTTGTGTTTTTGCAATCTCTTTGCTTGGATTTTTAAATGATTTTTTGTTATTTCGAGTCAAAGTTTCATAGCCACTGGTACCACTTGTGGTTGAGACACCAGCAACAGCGTTCGGGCTATCGCTCCTGTCCGCTCATGCATGAGCCAACAAATCAAGTTTTGATAAATGTTTTGATACTGTACTGATCTCTGTGCGGATCTCTGTACAGGAGAAAGCTACATCGTTGATTTGGACGAGGATTCCTGTTCTATGGAGCAACATGGAATCGATAGGCAGCAGCTCAGAAAAAAAAAGCATCATCATTCTGGGTGGTGCTGGATCGATGTTCTGCCACATGTGTCTTCTCGTGAAGGTGACACTGACTTACCCATATATAGGATCCATGGTGCTGCCATATATGGTAACATTTACCATTAATATACCCCCTTTATGTTAGCATATATACCAGACATGGATCCTATGGGTTAGAGTTTAGTCAGTTCTGTTTGCCAATGTTCTTTGCATATCGTTGCAGGTTTGGACGCATCATTCACCTCAGAGTGAACAGGCCCTGCTTTGATGCTCCTGGTTGTAGAGATATTAGACGGTGGGTCAACATTGGATACTACCCCCAGAATGGGTGGTTTTACTGCTGCATGAATGTTGACCAAATCTGGACCACCATTTTCACCAGGTCTTCAAGAGAGTAAATGCACAACATTGCACAACAATCCTTGGCACCCTTTTCACATCTTTACTTGGAGTCGGTGGTGAGATCTTGGTGTTTTTTGCAGGTTCGATTGCAATGGTGACTTTGACTTCGCACAAGCAAATTTTCTAGAAGAAGGCTTGTGCTCCTATGTTGCAGGTCAAGCTGAATGAGAACATTCGAATCGCTATCGGATGACATGCAAAACACAAATGCCCTGCAAAAAGAGTTGGTCCAAAAATAGCTGGTCCAACTCTGTCAGCATGCCATGATTCTTCTGATGGCAGGATACCATTTTCATCAGCATTGACTTGGAGCCACTCTCAATGCTGGAGCCATCGCTGAGATCCCCTATCCCAACCATGTCCGAGACGCCGATGAATCTGTTACTTATTGCCATGGTCTAAACATGGGTTATTTGCCCTCTCCGCATCAATAAAGTTTTAAATGATTTTAAATGTACCCAGGGACCCAGGAATTCATAATGATGATGGGATGAGACCACGCTCCATAAACAGTGTTTTGACTCTGGCAATCTATCGCACATATGGGCCATTTGAAGCCCCTTCGGTTTTCCTTACCGGCGCGTTTGCGCCACCTCTGAGTCTCACTGCTTATGCAGGACTGAGTGTGACATCAAAAGTAACCCTTGATGGTTGACCCACCAGTGCTCCGTTCCCTACATACAGATAGAATTGTATATAATGATACAATAGATGTAGACATGTATATAAATATTTATACCCTGTGAACCCAAACCCTGGAAAATTGTAGGGTCTGACTCGGAACCTCGGGTATGTTTGACGAAATTAAAATACCTCGGGTTTCTTACGCAAACCTCGGTTTTTCTTTTTCAAACCCGTACACCCGTATTTAACCCGTATTAACTGTTAACCTGTATTTTACGCGTACTAACCCCCGTATTTTAGTACTGGTTTGGAAAACCTCGGGTTTCTGCCCGAAACCTTGGGTTTTTCCACTGACCCTACGTTTTTTGCGGGTTTGGGTTCTAGGGTACAATTTGATTCTGACATAATAATGATATGATATGGTGATATATGGTGAATCTGTGGCCTCAAATTGGTCCCCTGATGAATCAAAATGGATCAACATAGGTGAATGGCCTGTGTATATTTTGGTTCAGGCTATGTCCACTCCTTTGGCCATAGAACTCCAGTTGAGGCGTCGTGTGTCTTTAGCGTGGTTACCACTGTCGGCACACCTTGTGTTATTGCAAAATGTTTGCAACGTATGCACGGCATGCTACAACTTTCATATACTGCATGTGTTTTGCTATGTTTTGTTCTCTAAGTTCAATGCCCGACCTGTGCCCTGACATGTTGATTCTGATGATTCACACATTTCTGCTGCCATGGATGGCTCTTTAGATGTGAGGGGCGTCGGGGGCTTCTTGCTCTCTGACAGGCGGTGCTTGTGTGATTTGACTCAACATGTCTCGACATGATCTTGAAAGGATGCAGACTGTCTGGGAGTGAGTGCATGAAATCAGTAGCAGCGTTGGTTGATGTTTCGATACCTTGGCCCATCACCAACAGCACCGTTGCCTTCAGGCCCCTCGGTATTCTCAGGCCTCTCCTGTTGTTATCGGCCATGACCTTAGGATGTCCATGCTTCAGCTGTGCAGGACGACCACATACGGGCCACATACGACCACTTTTCATAGCACTGAGGATGAAAATGGCATAACCTGGCCACTTTAATGGGGACAATATGGGGACAATGGTGATTCACCAGCGTATTCACCAGCGTATTTCGAGGTAGGATAGGTAACCCATCGATGTTTCCATTTGGGTTCCAGGTTTTGCAACAGTCCCATGATTCGACCAGTTCTATTCTGTCTCTGTCGGTCTCTCAGCATCTGGGCTTCCCGCTTCCGAATGGTCCGATTGGTCCGATTGGTGGTGTGGGAATCGCTAATATCATGGATATTTCATGGATTATCATGGCATATCTTTATCTGGAGCTTTCAAAATCTTGTGAAAAGTGTGCAAGGTATGTACATGGCCAATGTATGCCTATGTGCTAAGCAGCAGTTGCAGGTCAGCTCTTGAACGCTTTTCGGGAAGCTGAAATCTGCCAAGGTGTACATACTATCCATGGAGAACGTTTGCCTGTTGACGAGGTTGAGTTGGAGGAGGACCCTTCGGATAGACCTGCCATGACCTGCGGAAAATCTGTGGAAGAACCAACTGGGGCTGTGCCCGATCATTTAGAAACATGTATTAAATTATTAAAGCGAACCAAAACTGCATTTGAGGCGCTGCCACATTGATGAAAATTGTGAAGTCTCTGACCCTTTGAAACCTTTGACTTTAAGACTCTTTAAGTATCTTTAAGTTTACATGTGCACCAGAGCCTGTTTCCGTATCACAACTGGCCCGATAAGTTCGGTCTCTGGCCATCAGCGCAGGCTCCAGATCTGAAGCGCACTCCACAGGCACAGGAGAGAGAGGAAGTCAGTCACCTAGCCGAGGGGCCTAGCGTAGGATAAGCAGCGATTCTGGTGTTGGATGTGACATGATGTGACATGATGTGACATGATGTGACATGATGTGACATGATGTGACTTGCCATCCGTGATTCTTGGTTGGAGCCCTGCTGCTTGCTGAGTACATAGTTTCCGCATGTTTCCGCTAAGACGATGCAAATATACGGATTGCGCAAGAATTTGAACTCATGTCCTAACCCACAAAACCTGTTCTTCTTTTCAAGGGGGGACAAAACGTATCAAAATGTCAGTATTTCACAACGGTATTTTGAAGGAATCCAAGCCCCGAGTTTCTTCTTGGCAGCCCGAGAGCATGTGGGTTTCGGGTTATCCCGAATATGAATGAACATCCGGATAACATTCATGGATAATCATTCATGGATAGTCATAGATTGCTGCCGAACATAGCACCGTTTTTGACTGTTCCTGAAATGATTTCATGGGATCATATGGATCCATATGGTACCATTCGTTTCAGTTGGAGAAAACCATTGGACAGGGCCTGCTTCAGACTGGAGCTGGTGAAGCGCGCCAGACCTCCAGGCTTCGGTACCCCAAAAACAATGTGTTTTATCAGTATGTTTGCTATGAACATGGCCATTTGCGAGGCTAAATGTTCTAGTTTCAGACACACCCATAATTATAGTTGAATCATATCTATATAATCGTTTCAAATAAATTGTGTTTCAGCTGAATAGATTATCTAAGATGAGACATGATGAGATCTAACAAAAGTGGTCCAGGACCTTGAAATGCCCCGGCCGAATCAAGTTAAAACCTTATAGTTTGGGTTTTGATACTTATGACTTCTGATCCCACTTGTAAGTACTTAACTTTCAAGCAAGTAGTAGTTGGCCTTTAAAGGTGTACACTAGGAATCGCGATGCCACAATATGCGAACGATTTGCAGGATGTAGAGTCAAAAGTGTGATATAGCCAGGTGGCGTTTACTGCTGTTTAAAGATTCTGGAATTATATGTCTCCGGCACCGCCATTCGGAGGCATCGTCGATCAACTAGGCGCTGTTTTTTTTCTTTTCCACTGACTGCCTTGTTGTTTGATTCCACCGTCAGCACAAGACATCACATGACTATGTAATATTGATATTCAAGTGATATTCATATCAATATTCAGTGTGTATATATATATGTGTATATATGCATTCTTTCGGCAGTGAGTGAGGGCACAGAAAAATCCTATTTTGTCCTGTGCATATAGCAGTGGCTTACGCGCCGTGTTATGACTGAACCCAGTAATTAACTGTACATTATTACACTTCGAAGGGACGGACTGCTTGCACCACCTTTTCTCAGACAGGCGCTTGGACCAACACTTGAAGTCTGTGCGCACGCGCCGACATCGCTCCAAACGCAGCTTTCACCAGCAGTCATCGAACAAGTCCAGCGACCCTTGGACTTCGAGTTTTGGGAAAAGGGTGGATTCGGGTGGGGATGGAACAAACAATTTTCACCAACTATTTCCCTTGATTTCGCGTTTCCAACGGCTTTCCTTGAACATGTATGCTTGATTTTGTTGAGAGCAAGCTTGTTGCTGGGTAGTTGTAGTGCGTGCTATGGCCATAGTATATTATAATTAGTTCTGGTTGATTCTGCCACGGAAGGGCAGAACACAGGAGTATGAACTCAGACTCTTGAAATTTTCACGTAATGCCTATGGATGATCTGATCATTGGTGAACATATGATTGGCACGTTGGAAATCGTTGGAATGGCATGCAGAATCACAAAATAGGACTGTAATGTTAGGTCCCAGACTGGATCAGATGTTTAGAGAGCCTGCTGCATTCTGACAGGCCGCCGATCTAGCGAGTTCTCAGATATTAGCTTCTCAACATTCGGTTGCAGAGCAACATGGCTGCAGGGATAGGAAAGATCTTGGCATTTTGTCAACCCTTCAAGCACCAGCAATCTTCCTTGATGTACTTTCGTGAAGTTTTAAAGACAACATGCGGATGCAATTGCCAGAGGCAACTCAAAGTGCATATGACAAGAACTCCCGTAGGCTGCATATGACTCTGACAGGAAGGACACTGAATGGAATCATTCGCAAGAACAGTTGTATGTGGGTATCAGCTGGTAATTTTTCCCAGGAAATAAAACATGAACAACTTATATGTCATACTATGTCAGCTAAAAGCCAAGAGTAATCATCACGAACCTCTGCGTCTTGGTGTCTTGAACAACTCAGATAATTCTGATTTCAATGGCGATTTCCATTGATTTCCTGGTTCGCAACTTGATTTGGGCAACTTGACAGACCCTCCACAGAAATTCCATGAAATTCCCCCCTCCACGGCCACGTCTTCACTGAGGCGCTTCAGTGTCTTGGATCTCACTTCGCAGGCCACTCAAAAGGCCACCATGCAGCGGCTCTTCGGGCGACACCTCTCAGAGGTGGGCTTCCTCCAAGTTCAGGTCTATCATTCCAGAATTTATGATTTATGTATAATTATTGTAGAATTATAAATATATAGTATCTATATATTCTAATATATATATATATAATTATATAGGTATCCTATAGTTTGGTGATGTTTGGTGTGGAAAGCAGCAGTTCAACAGTTTTTTGGACACACAGATGCTGCCAGGTTGAGCACATTAGCCATGTCAGAGCAATTGCAAAGTCTAACGGCCGGCAGCTTGGGAGATGTACCCTGGGGGTTAAAAAAACACATGGCAATAGGAAATCCCTTACTGTGGGAAAATCAAGTACCTATAAGCCTACAATATATATATATATATAATATATATATATATTATACATTACATATATATATATAATTCGTTCTTTTTTTCTATTGTAATGTTTAATTAGCAGAGGCTAAGTGGGCCTTCCTGTGCTACTGGTACCTCTGGTTTTTTTCCTCTGCAGCGGCACGACACTGAGGTAGTCATGGATGGGATTTGGTCACTCCCGCAGATGGTGTACCTTCCTCAAACTGAATCCGACAGATCAGATGGAACATTGATGAGATTGGCATGTTTTAAAGATTCCATAAAGATTCCATTATAATATTTCACCATGTTTGATGATGACCCAATTGATGATACATATTTCACCATTTCATAGATATAAATATTGATTAGATATTTCATGATGCTAATCAATGTTGATGGATGATGCTGACCCAATTTTTGACCCAGACCTCCAATTCGATGGGTGGTCAGGTCGAAGCTGACTTGACGCCTGCGGAGAAGAACGTCGGGCCTAGGCATGCTACAGGATGAACATCTATGTTTATAGTTACATGCTACAGGTGCGAGACTACAGGTGCAACATATGTATTATCGATGAGTTCTAGAATGCTTGCATGTGTCCTGACCCTGTTTGTTAGCCTTGCTTGACGCGCCTGGAGATCTCAATTGACCCTGGTTGTTTGCGTGATAGGTATGTGAAGCTGACAGAGGATCAGCGAAATCAGATCAAACTCTTAGAGCAGGAGCAGCATGTTGCAACATGCCATGGCCATCATGGCCAGCATGGTCTTTTGGTGCCCATGTTGATGCTATGCTAAGATCCCACACTGATTATATATAGTCGAAACACATTCAGACTGCAGCAATAGAATGTGAATCTGGAGTGGTGCAAAAATTACTTGAAATTTGAAAGTTGATTGTCAATCGCCCAGAATTGCGACTACAGGAGCTTGATAATGAGCAGCATCCAAATGACAGCGGCCTACTAGCCCCTTTGGCAGAGCAGCCGAGCTTTGGCTTTCATTGGAGCAGGTCTTCAAGTGTTTCAAGTGGGTTAGTAACCGGTCAGTACATGAGATCCCAAGACTTCAGGATGCTGATGGCGATGGCTGGTGGGATTGGTGCTTCAGTGGGAAACACGGGCAGCATCAACTTTGACCGGGTTGACAGCTCAGACTTCAGTGCTGGAAAGCTGAAGATGGGTGACAGAAATCATTGAAGCAAACATCATCAAACAATTCAGCGAAAATGGAATCGAAGACATAGAGTGCAGTAACTATAATTATGCAATCACATGTCACCACATAGTGATGCAGAGATGCATAGAGTAAAATCGAGTAAAATCAGAGCGCTATCATAAACAATCACAAACGCATCTATATGATCTACAGTACATATTTCACATTATTTCAGCATGATTCCACCATGATACTGGCCTTGAGGACCTGATTCATCGAATGAAGATGCAGGACTTGGTGGTGATGTGTCTGCTTATGTCACTTGGCCACCAAAAAACATCAGCGAACTTTGTCTTTTTGCGGCCCCAAAAGACATCCATGGAATTCCAGGGGTAGTTTCTGTAAAGAGAGCTCCAAAAAATGAACACTTCCTGATTTTTTTTCTGGATTTGACGGAGCTAATTCGGGCTACTGTAGGGACACTCTATTAAATTACTGTTTGCATCCAGCACAAGAGAAAATCTAAACTGGGTGTAATTATGCAGTTCCCCTTGATTGTTGAGCGGATTATCAGCAGGAATTCATTGACTAGTTTCACTTTAGTTGATTTCTCTGCAGGTAAATCATTGCTGATCATTTGCACGCCAGTTTACACCTTGCCACAGCGAAAGCGTCCATCCTGCGCTCGCATTTTTTTGGGCCAAGGTTTGTTTACTTTGCCACTCTATCCTTCAGTGCGTGTCTTGCCCACAGACAGGCTTGGAAACACTGTTCTTGTGCTCAACTTTGGATGTTCGTGAAAGATCAGTAATCTCGACCAACCAAACACCCATTTCACTCACCTTCGCAAGTCGCGGATCAGCTCCGCTCCAGAAACCAGGCCGCCAATCGCTCGCGCGTGAAATTCTATGCCGATCCGAGGATGTACATCAACACAGCAGGGAACGCACAGCCTACAGCAACAATGGGTTCACAAGATTTTTTTAGCACACGAATGACACAATATGATAGCATATTGATAGCATATTCTAACTATCTCTAACTAATATAATTACAAACATATACATCATCATACATCATATATACTATACAACGCATATGATATATGATATATTTACATGAATGTTGCTGTGTCACATTTTGTCACTATGATTCACCATCTAGATCTGTTCGCACATGGATTTGGAATGATTTGGATATGTCCACATTCCATTTGATCAGTTTCTGATCTGGAGATGAGGCTGATCAAGGCGGAGAGGAAGCTTTCCTTGAGGCCACTGCCTCAGGTACTGGCGGGACTCATAGGGACTTATAGCATCTTATAGCCACTTTGGACAGGGATTTGTTATGATTCATTTCACTTGCTAGCCCTTGGTCGGTAGTGGCTGGGAACATTCGTTTCTTCCTGAAAATGATCTGGACCCTCAACCATTCAGTGGCCTGAAACGATGTCAAAGTTCACTGGCAATTGCAAGGCGTTTAACCAACAGCCAAAGCAGGTTCAATTGAGAGCCTTTGCCTTAGCGACTCTTGGCCGTTGCCAATGTGCAGATCCTCTTATGGGGGCTTCTGAGACGAGGAAACAGATTGATCCAAAGTTCCATGGCTGCCATGGCCGCCCATCGGGCCCATCGGGTGCAAGGTGACTGGTTATCTGCCAGTCGCGAACAATTTTCCTGGCTCCTTCTTCTGGAGAGGCTGGATGCTCCAAGGTCAAAGGCCTCAAGGGCCTCAAGGGAAAAAACAAACTCTTTGCAAACTGCCGCTCTAGGGGCAAGTAGGATTCAGGCACAACTTGTCAAGATTTTCACTGAAGCCACGCAGCTACAAACCAATCAAGCCTGTGAAGGGAAGAGTTCGGAGGTCCACATGTTTTTCTGCATTCCATCTGCATGCCGACTGCATGCCATTTGCCAAGCTGCGTTGCAGATGGCCTCTATGCAGTCGCTTTTTCCTTTGCCCTGGACTTGACGTGGAGTGCTGAGACATGGCTGAGCTGCAGGATGAGTGATTTGCCGATGTCGCCTGCAGAATTTGTGGATACACAGCAAGGACATGTGAAGTAGGTGTCAAAACACGATGACTATAATTGCAGAATTACATTATGCCGCTAATTATACTATGATTTACTATAGTTATAAACAGTTATAAGTTATAAGTTATACTATATTCAACTATATTCTATTAATTATTGTGTACATCTTTGGCACAAGCAACAGGAAGCTCCAAGCAATAGACAGCAGGATAGCAATGTGTAAATTCCCCTGAGGCCATGGGTGGTCCGCGGAAGTCCCGATGAGCCCACCGATGCTTGGCAGAACTGAGGTCCTGCATGGTCCCGTGTTGTATAATTTCTAGACATGGCGGAGTGGTCAGAAATCGTGGTTAAGATCTCAAAATTTCTCAAACCAGGTAAGTTGATGTAATTGTCGACGAAGAAAGCCGGGGAAAGCCATAGGGTGCACAAGGTTGACATCGCCGGCACCAAGGATACTGATGAAGAGGATAGTGGCGAGGCACCGCTGGGACGATACCTTTTGCGCAGTTCTTGGGCGCTTTGACCTGACGGGAACACAGGGATACTTGAGAGTAGAATGGGCATGCAATTTCACAAATCTACAAGCACATCTACAATATAATATGGATTAGTATGCAAAATGACACCCAAAACCCATTCCTTTCCTGCTAGAGTTGACCATCTTGGCGGATTTCGTGTATTTTGAGGGTCCGCAGTTCAGGAAGATACCATGATATCATATGATATCATGATGGGATCATATAATATACTGCACTTCAAGTTTCATGGAAACGCATTCTATCGCATTCTGCATGCCCCGCCCCTTTTCCACCATTGTATCATGTTGCAACGTTCGCCGCTTGCAGGTTGGAGTTGTTACAGAGGACTCCCTGTGGTGGGTTGGCGTGTAGAAAATTTGGCCTTTTGGCAGAACACATTGAAGGCAGATTGAGGCCTAGTCCAACAATCCATCTTCAAGGGTTGTTACCAAGCCCATGCACCAGGCGACTCAGACCTTTAGGAAGTGAGCTGTGTAGAATCTATAGATAAAGCGAACTATAAACATCACATATCAAGGTGGATACAGCATGTAACAGCCTGTACACATTTATTCAGTCACTTGGGCAAAAAAGAGCAGATGGGTAATGTGAGCTTTCATTTCGAAATATTTCGAGGCATTTTTGAACAGACCCAGGATGGATACATGTGGAGCTTCTATGAGCTTCTGCTCAAGGTATCTTGGAGCTGTAGGTTTGATCCTTCCCCATCTTCCCCTTTGAAAGAAGATGCTTCAACTCTGCGTAGCTTTGCCGAGTCAAAATCCTCCAAAGTAGGGGACCTGAAGATCCTGGCCAAGGAATCTTTCGCAGAAGGCTTCTTAAGATTGATAATGGTTATGGGCATGTCCTTCGCTCCATGGAATCAGAAGCCGCAGGCCAAGAGGGAGACAACTTGACGGCTTTTGCGCAACAAGCACAGTGTGGCAGCAACAGGAGGAGCCTTCGCCTTGTGGTGCCGTGGAGGTGACCGGCTTGTGCGTCGTTACCTGGGGCGATCCCAAATGGTGGAGACAGCTCTCAAGTCCAAGACAGTCCAAGATCAGCTTAGGAATGTGTTGTTCAAGCGCTGGAAACTGCAATGCCATCCGGGCAGGTGGCTTGGTTGCCACCTGGGGCGAATCAGGTGGGGGTGATAGCTCTGAAGCCCAAGATCAGCTCCGGAGTGTCGTGCAAATCAACGCCACACAGCGAGCATTTGTTGCGATCCTCGGAGATGGGTCTGTTGTGACCTGGGGCGATCTAGAAAGTGCCGGTGACAACTCTACAGTCCCAAATCAGCTGAGGAGTGTTCGCCAAGTTCGGCCTACAGGTGGCGGCGCGTTTGCTGCGATACTCGAAGATAGATCTGTCTTCACTTGGGGCAATCCAGACTATGGTGGAGACAGCTCTCAAGTCCAAGACAAGCTCAGTGGCGTGCAGCAGGTTGCAGCCGCGTTTAGTGCATTTGCTGCTATCCTGTCAGATCTGTCGTGACATGGGGCTCTGCCCTTTTTGGTGGTGATAGCACTGATGTCCAAGATCAGCTCAGGAGCGTGCAACAGATTCACGCGACAGGCGCTGCGTTTGCTGCCATCCTTGCAGACGGCTCTGTTGTCACATGGGGGGATCGAGAATTCGGTGGTGACAGCTCTGGAGTTCGAGATCAGCTGAGGAGAGTGCAGCAGATCAAGGCATATCAAGGCTACAGGTACAGCATTTGCTGCTATCCTGTCAGATGGATCGATCGCTGCGTGGGGCAATCCGGAACATGGTGACTGCTCTAAAGTTCAAGTTCAGCTGACGAACGTCCAGCAGCTTGAGGCCACACATTGTGCATTTGCTGCGATCCGGTCAGATGGATCTCTTGTTACATGGGGCATTCCAGAGTACGGTGGTGACAGCTCTAAAGTCCAAGATCAAGTCATCCAGCCTCAGATCGAAACAACCTGTTGATCCCTTGGTTTGAGACTTTGAGGAGACACTGCAAACTGCAGGCTCTAAATAGTTCAGAACCTAGAAACGGATAGAAAAGGGGGATCACTGCACAGCTGCCACCCTGGAATATTAAAGGGGAATCATCGCAGTTTTACGAAATATGAAAAGCAATCAAAAGTCATCCGTGACTGGCCCTGTTGCTATTTGTGGCAATTGTATCAAATCTGTTGAAATCTAATGGCAACTTGTCATTTTGAACCCTGCCGGACCCACGGAGTGCAAGCAGCACAACTCTAAACTATAATTCAACAAATATAGCAATAGTTAGCAATCTATAATGTATATATATAATTTATCTATTTAATTATAATTTGAATGAATCTGATGGTACCTGCTTTTCCAAGGAAGAATGAAGAACAACAAAGCAAGCTTCAAGCATGCCACTCCACACCGCAGCAGGATTTCAAGAAGTTGCAAAAGTACCTGGCAAATGACACCAACGCGGCCTCTGCATGTTTTGCCCCTGGACATTGCCTGGACGACGTTGATTGCTTTGTGCAGTTAGCGCGGTGCCAGGACTTGAGCATTGTTCAAATGTGGGGAGCCCAGGACTGGCAAAAACATGTTTTGGCACATGTTTCTGTCCAAAGATGTCCAAAGTATGTTGGCATCTCAAGACATCTCAAGACATCTCAAGACTAAAAACCTGGTTTGGAGCCAGCTTGGATGGTTGGTCATTGCATTATGTTATGCATACTATAAATGGATTTAGGCCTTTTGGACTAGGTTTGGATTCTCATCCTCATCCATTCCCAGAGTTCGCCAGAGTTTGTCAAACAGGACATCATGAGGAGCGAAAGAGAATGTCCACTGACCTAAGCTTCAAAAGAGATACTATAACTTTTCAGTCATGTTCAGCTCATTTCATGGGCAAGACAACCCAAAGCTTTGGTCTTGTGTCGTCTAAAGTGTTTTGAGAAGATTTCAAACTTCAGGAGAAGATCTCATGGAGATTTCTCTAAGCAATTGGAGATTTCTCTAAACTGCAAGTGGCATTTGAATGTGTGTTCAACTTCAACCTTAAGCTTTCACAGTCCAGACTTTAGAATACGTTAGAGACATCGAATTTCACCAAGCTAACTCAGCAAGATCCACAGCATGACTGTAGCATGTTTAAACTTGGACGCCATGAGGCGCTGAAATTCGCTGAAGCCATCATTCCGATCCGGGGAGAAAGCATTGACAAAGCTCATATCACTCAATGGAAGTAGATAGTATACGTATAGAGACTGATTGAGATATAATCCAATGATATACAGTGTAAATCGAAGTCACTCGAAATTGTTTCAGAGTCTCAACTGCAGTGTTCCAAGTAGAGCAAGATATCACTCTTGGCTGAGATTGGAATGTTTTTCAAGTCTGACGGGTCGGTCATACTCGTGTGATTTCTTTTGATTTCGTTCTGCTTTCCCCAACTAATGAAAGCGCACGTTCCTATAGAAGATTCGGTCCTTCTGGTTTCAGTAGAGCAATTATTGGTAGGATTGAATATGATATGGGGACAGGAATCGGTACTCTAACTCTAACCCAGGCAGAAGCACATTCAATGGAAGTGCTGGGATGAACTTGCCCAAGACTTAGTGATGACAGCCGGCGATTCTTTGGTGGCAGCTTCAAGCAAAACGATGGCTATAAGATGCTATCACAAGTAATCTTTCAGCACACAATACATCGTCACAAGAGTCTATTTCAGCTTTGTGTATGGAGATCAAGTTACCTATGAAAAACCATATGCCATATGGATATGTAAGACTATGTAAGACAGGAACATCAGGAAATACCACCTTTGGTTCCATCGAGGGGACGAACATCCACAGCTGTGACAAAAAGGGGATCCCAACCCAGCCACGGATCGATCAAGGCCATGAACATCAAACATCAAATCCGACAGAGCGGCTTCGAAGGACCTGCACGTTGAGACCTGCAGCAGTTTCTGTATCTGCGTTGGCTGATTAAAATAACTTACCCTCTGGTTATTTAACATAGCCATGGAAAATGGCCCATTTATAGATGGTTTACCTATTAAACATGGTGATTTTCCATGGCTATGTTAAGAGGGTAAATAAAATTTATAAAACTATTGGACCCAAGCTGCAGAATGGCACCAGGAGTCCTCAATATCGATCGCACGGAGATGGAAGAGATGTGCGTTTACAAGCCCTCAGCTCAGTGCATTGTTTTGGAACTTCCAATGGGTTTCAACAGATTCACTTTGGAGATGGAAAGAAGAGGCAAGACATATCAAAACCATTCTTGGTCAAGATATTATCAATATGTCGTCTCATATATAATATATATTTATATATTATTGTGAATTATATATTCTGTCTATCATTAATATATATATGAGCAAGGGTCAAAAGACGCTATGAAAGGCTTCCATTACGATCCGCCATCACTACTCAAAATATGTGATTTACTGCGTGTAGCGATAGGGGGCCTTATGTAGCGATACCTCTTTTTAGACTCTGTTTATGATTGAAGCTTCCTGTTGGGCACATGACTTTCCAATCTTTTGATGTCAGAGCGCGACACTGGAGCAGTCGCAGTGGGCTGGTCTTCCTGGGTAGTTGCAAGATGGCCTGTCGTCAAGTATATATGAGATAGTTACATTAAACAATATTGATATATTGGGGTATGTTGATCTATAAGGTATGCAAGAAACTAATTCATAACGCATCATGAGCTTGATGATGGTGATGATGCTGATGATGATGGTGATGATGTTGATTCAGATAGTGACCGTGCTGAGATATGTTGAAAAAGCATCCTTGTGCGGTCACGGACAGTTCTCCAAAGCCACTGTCCAGGAGTAGAATTGCAACATGGAGCTTGTCAGAATTTCATGTCACTTGAAACATACACCTGAGATCACACATTTTCTGGTCCCCGTAGCGATGCCCGAAGCGATACCCCTCGATACCCAGAGCGATACCTGAAATCCATGAAATTAGGGAGTACCCCACATGGTCACTTGAAACTATACAACTTGTGCTATAGGTGGAAAAATATGGGAAGTATGAACAAGGGTACCCTCAAGTTCTTACTGGGTTAGTTCTTAAAGGGTTCATTTGGTCAGGGTTTTGCCGATTCATTTTGGCGTGGTATTAGGTTGCAAAGGAGGCGGGGTGAAGAAAAAAAGGCGCCGGAAACAAGGCAGCACAGGCAAGACAAGCCAAGACAAGCCAACACAAGCCAAGGGCAGCCTCCGAGGTCAGATGACCTGCAGTGAGTCCGGCTGGTGTCTAGCTGAAGCTGTCGACGTCAGCCTTGGTGATCACATAAAAGTTTGAATTTCCGTGGAGATACCATCGCAAGGGGAATAAGAATCCGATTCCTCATCTGGATCCTCCTCTTCTAGCAGCAATTCTGCCTAGTTGGTGAAAAGGGTGCTGGGACTGTGTGTAGCGATAGGGGGCCTTATGAAGCGATGCCATGACCTCACCACATGAATTGAGTTTTGACCGTCGCACATATAATATAATTATATATATCAATAATATCTTATCATATATTATCCACTTCTCACCAGCTCACCTCGCTCAGCTGCGCAAGGAACACGCAATGGGCCAACTTTATGCACGGCAAAGCATTGAAGGTGCCCACGGGACCTCTTCCAATGCGTATTGTGTATTATATAGATGTATTAGTTCGTGATGGTTAGTTGATGATGGTTAGTTGATGATGTACTAGTTAATGATGGTTATTGTGATGGTTAGTTGATAATGTATTAGTTGATGATGGTTAGTTGATGATGGTTAGTTGATAATGTATTAGTTGATGATGGTTAGTTGATAATGTATTACTTGATGATGGCTGACCAGTTGATGTTGGTGTTTGGCAGGTGCTATTGGCGCTCAGTGTAGTGGGATGGGTCTTCTATGTGCCAGTGCCTTAGACTTCAGAGATGCTGGTTGCTATCACAAAGACCGAGTAGAAGTAAGAGTGCGAGAAGGGATGAAGGTTGCAGTACCTTGAATGTCATTGTTGAATCAAAATGTTTGATGTTTTAGTTTGTGGCGTATTTGCAATGAACCTCACTTGAGCTATGCTGTCTCTCGAAACGCCTATATTAGGGAGCAAAGAACTCTGTCGCCATGCTTAGGCCATACATGTGGATTCGTTGTACCTACATGCCTGTCCGATGCTCCCACTACATCAACATTTCCATTAGCACAGCACTTAGCAGGGTTTTGATTGGAGGGCGCTTCAGTGCCGCTTTCCTGTTTATTGCTTTGGAACATCTACCCTTAATAGAAGGGGGGGTCTCTCCAGCAGGAGGAAGTGGCTTCATCCAACTGTCAAGGTGACTACTGGCAATATATTGCCGAGGGGCTTAGTGCCAACGGTCAGCTCCTTAGCCAAAGACATTGATTCCCCTGCCCGCACCTGCAGTGAATGAAGCTCACGAGGCTTCCTTGCTGGCGAAGCACCTCAGATGATTTTCCCTGCACAACTCCATCAGGCGCAGAGAAACCACATGGCAGAATACGTCAGAATGCAAAACATGACAAACTGATACAAACTGAACCAGAAGAACTTGAATGAATGTGATGATTAAACAAACTAAAACTAAAACCCGTGGATGTCCCGGTTCTGCTTCCTGTTAGGAATCCTCGGAGGAACCACACTCTGATTGAGAGCCAAACAGCACGTTGCAACAGAATTCGCGGAGGAATGATGGGCGTGACAGTTGTATGTTGTATCTGTCACTTCTCAGATAATATTCATGTCACCTAGTCGCCTAGCGGCCTAGCGGCTATGGCCCAAAGCTAGGCCCCTTGTCCAGTGCTTCGCTATGCCCCCCTGATACTTTGGTGGGGCCATAAGATGCCGTAAGCACTGTTTCAGAACGTTTTAGAGGCTCATCGGGACACAAAAAGACCGAACTTATGTACTTCGAAGGATGCATTAATTTCATCATTGATTCTAACGGGTGTAGCGATGTCAACAGCAAGACCACGCCCCACAACATCCAAGACCCATCTGGGATTTGGGGCTAGCATCATCTACCATGGACAATGTTCATCCATTTTCAACGTTTGGCTTGGCTCAGCTCCATGACACTAAATCAGCCGAAGACAAACCGGGTCCCTGAATTGTGCTGTGATAGAAGCATATAGTCGCCTATTTTGTGCTTCATTCATGTTCCAAATTCACAAATTCAGATGCTCTTGGAGATTCTTCTCAAATACAAACACTACAAACTGACCAGACATGATCAGACGTTTGTTGATGGTCATCGTATGTCATCGTATGTCATCCACAAGAATCAAAGAGAGAAGTGACGTTCAGTGCTTCCAAGGATTCCAAGCCATGACAGCAACAGCTTCACTGTTCAGCACGGCGGTGATCACATCGCGAGGCCGCGAAGCCATGGGTGCTCCCATTAGCCGCAACATGTGTTGCAGCATTCGAGAGAAGGTGCCATGTGCCATGTCGGTCCTTGGTAGATTGCTATGGATATTTTGGATATTTTGTCAATACACCCTGCACATAGATGATATAATATATAGATATCTATATCCGGGTAATGGGCTGGGCGTCATACTTGGGTCGACTTGCCTGTGTTGACGATGTTTTTGGGTATTGTGTCGCAGTGCATGGTATCCAGCATTGCTGTATGGTATAGATGTAAATTGTAAACGTGTCACAGAGGCATTCACTTCAGGTAATCCATCACATGAAGAATAGTGGTTGCAGTGTATGATATTGGTGAATATGGGAAGCGTATGGAGGTGCAAATTGAAACAGATGCTACGACATCCTGCATATCTAGCAGGATGATGGTGTTGCATCTGTAGATGAAGGAATGCTCCCCATCCACTTACATAAAAACACACCCTGCATACCAGAAGCTGTCGGACATTGTAAGTGCGGACATACTTAGTGTTCGCTGGCTGCAATGCGAAAAGCACAGTGGTACGACAAGATATTCCATTGAACATTGTTTGATGCCGCACTTCGATGACAATTGAGATTCAGTACATTTGGCAATCATAGGTCTACATTGTATAAAGGAACAACCTTTTGATTGGATGGCTTTTCAATGGAACACATGAAAGATACAGGATCATCTACACCTTGAACAAAGGGTAAATCGGTCTCTACCACTTCCGGTTATCATTCACAGCTCTCCGCAGGATGGCTTTGGCAAGCCATTCGCACCCAGTCCACACTTTGTTTGCAGTGAAGTTTCCCAGATGCAGATCGTTCGCACTGGACCGCACTGTGCAGTGCGACCTGTTGTGTCAAACGTATTGAAGAACTGATGAAAAAGATTATTTGAAATGCTGATTTTGGATGATTTTGGTTTGGCTTCAGTAAAGCCACACCTGCGCAGGACATGAACCCCCTGCTGCAACTGAGGTGGAGATGGCTTTGGATAAGTTGGCGTTTGTTGCCTTTGCCATAGCCTTAGACTTCGCCGTGACGTGGGAGCCTTACGTGAAGAAAATGACCATCTTTTGGTGTACCAAAGAGTAGATTGAGAGCTGTTGGTCTATTTTTTGACAACTTGAAATCTATTTGACGTCTATGAATATTATATATATATTATATAATTACAAAATATTATAGCAATCTACACAGAAAATATAATTCGATTCATTCGAGATACATATATTATGATGTTATATTGGTCGCGATCAGAGCAACTGCTAGCCCACTAAGCAGAAACACACCAACGTCAAACAAGCAAAAAATGAACAACAAACATGGGGTGCTGAGGCTGAAACTCAGTGGTTTCCCATCGTTTCAGACTGGACAAGCGTTTAATAGTCGCTCTTTCAACTCATTACCCGGTCTGTGGTGCCTTGCCTATACATTAATGTGATTAATTTAATCTCGATTCTCGTTGATATTTCATCCCTTTTTGTTGGTTTTGTGCACTTTGATTGGTGGGGCTGCAACGGGGTTAGACATTTACCTAAGGTGAACTAAGGTGATGTTTTGGCATCGCTACTTTGGTGTTGTTTCATGTATCCTCATTTCAGATCCGTTGTTGGTGACCGAGTCACCACTCTGGGCCACTGGCATACGACGCCTTGCAGTTGCTAGCACGCGCACAGCCAGGGAAACTCAGTGATATCCAGTGATCGCAGTGATGTTGGGAGAGCTATAGGCGGCTATAGGAATGGTCTTGAGCCCAGGTAGCTTCAAAATCTGCTGTACATCCACTTCATTTCTGCAAAAACAGATGACATACATAGATGATCGCAGGTAATAACGGATGGACTACCTATGTATACACGGTATGAGGGCTTGTAATTAAGATCTAGGACCAGTAAGATTTAGGATGCCCTCAAGGTCTTTTGAAGTGGGGAAACCCCAATTGGATTTGGATTTGGATGTGCTCTATGTAGTAATTGTGGGCCCATGAATGAGTCACTCTATGTCTGACTTCGCTGCGTGAGCGGAGCGTTGTTCCGAGCTGAGGTTCACATATACCGGATGTCTGACAGCGGCAAGTCAGCTGCCTTTTCTATCCGGGCTGGGAGGAGAAGAGTCAGCCGGAACACCAATCCCGAAATGTAATCCGGACATAGCTGACCAACCAGCTGGTGATTTTGGCCGGGGCCGAGGTTCGAGGTACCGAAACTCGAAAGCACTCTGGAGATGGAGGAGATTTCAAGCTGCCAAATCACCAGAAATACCTGGGTATGTATCGGTATGTACTGTATGTGTCCTTTTGTCTGAAAATGGGGGTTGTACACCCAAATGAAACCAAAGTGCACTTTGAATGAGAAAATTATGATTAACGATTAGCCATAGAATTCAGGGTTACCCCTGGGTGACAGGGTCTTGAATGCCCCATACTCTGGCCCATCTGATCAACCCAAAACAAGCTGGCACCTTGTACCCCAAATCAATGGAAAGGAAGCAGCGCAGAAGTTCCTGTCCAGAGGTGGGTTCTAGAGATACCGGTAGTGTGGGCATGTGTTCGTATCTTTCTTGCTCACTCTCGCTCTCCCTCTGCCTCTCCCTCTCTCTCTCTCTTTCTCTCTCTCTCTCTCTGTCTTTTTTTTTCTCTCTCTCTCTCTCTCCCTCTCTCTCTTTCATTCTCTTTCCCTCTCTCTCTCTCTCTACATATATAACTTATAACATAATGTATTTATGATTATCATTGTACATAATATATTATACAGTATATAGAGTAATTGTCATCCTTTTCTCCACCAACCCAGCCACAGCCATTAGCAGCACAAATTGTGGACCTTCAGGAGGGCTTCGCAGTGACGGCCTTGATCTTCCGTGATGAGGACACTTCCAGAGCGTAAGGGCGCCTAAAGGCCTAACGCCTTGCAGATGAGATGCCACCATAATTGGGATATATATGATATATATATATATATATAACTGGGATATAATGAGATAATATTATTAAAAATCAATGGGATGTACCTATTACTCTCTATAAATGGTGATATTAATGATATAAGGGAATTTTAACCCTCTCTAACATGGAGATAGTATGGGGATATAACCAATGATACCCTTCGGTACTCTAACATGGCTAGGATTTCCCAGCAAGCCATGTTTGATTACCGGAGGGTAGCTCAATGTCGATGTTCTAATTGAATCCAATGGATCTGAACCGGTACAGTAGAAGAGAACATAAGAGATCATAAGAGAAGTGTCTGGCTCGCACTGCACCTTGCATTCATGGAGCATCAAATTGTAGAGGTGAACTGTAGGGGGGGTGCATGGCACTTGTGGCACTTGTGGTTGTCCTTCCGAAATTGTGAACTCACCGTTTCACCATGTTTCACCATGTTTCACCATGAAACTCACCTCAACTCACCGACATGAAACTATCGTTGGCACTGCCCCCGGGATCCCACGAGATCCCACGAGTTTAAGGGTTTCTGTTCCAACACGGAACCTTTGAGGTTCGTGATAGCTTGCCGGCCAGAAGCTCCCTCTCGAGGCGCAGAGTCTTCACCGTTAAAGGAGGAATTCCTGCGCAGATGAATTGATGGTTGCACCAAGTGGTTTTCAGTAAAAATCGGAGAATACATGATGCTCTTTGAAGCAGCCTGGCCTTACAGTTTAAGTGAGACAGTTACAAAAGCCATTCAGTCCATTCCTCATTCCCTAGATAAAAGCCATTGAAGCGCAATTTGGACACTGCCAACTTGAAGACTTGAGAATGCTTGAGCTGGTCCAAAGACAGCATGTGTGAAGCCTATGGAATCGTCCAGTGTTTAGCTTGATAACTCAGCACCTCCCGAAGGTATCAAGCATTACATCCGGATTTGGCACGGCTGACTCAGTTCAATGGCCAATTTGTTTGGCTGAAGTGGGCAGCTGTTGACACTGGGAATCATGGGTTCATACACCTGGGGATCATGGCTTAGTTCAACATATTTTTGATACAAAGATTGGGGGGAATTCTGATAATTCTGTTTGCTGCTGATCCAACCAAAGCACTTATACATTCTGTAAGCAGAGAATTGGTTGAACTTGCAGAGTGAGTGACCTGCAAGGCCCTGTGATCCTTTAAGTGGAAGCCTCAGGAGTGACTTCACGTGGAGTCCTGCAATTGACAGCTTCCCTTCGTGGCTTGTTTCATGATCCCAATACTATTCCTGGTGGGTTCGAAAGTTGTGGACTCCAGTCATCTAGCCAAGAGGGTATGATATACTATATATATATATAATACATAGATATGATATATGAACCATTATACACCCACCATAACCCACCATTCTTTGGGGCTTCATGGTTAAAGAAGCTCCTGCGAATCCGGCCTTCCACTCAGGTGGTGACCCACAGATGCCAGGCACAACTTCACAGTAGCTCAGCTGAGAAAGCCAGTCGCGGCGACCAGTTGGATTTTTATTTAGTCTTGTAGTGCTAACATCCGCTGACTTGGGTTTGCTAGCCTGGTTTTGAAATTATGATCTTTGATGATCTTTAGTTTCCATGCCTTTCTGAGATGACGAACCCAAATCACCCAACTTCCCAACACGCTTGGGATGGGTTCAATACTACAAATCAACTGACATATGGCATATGGCTTGTTTCAGCAGTCATTTTTTGTTGCAACTAATGTGATGTGGTCATGTGTGGTCCTTGTATTTCAGGTCGCTAGCACCAAGGGCTTTGCAACGAGACGTTTCAGCCCCAGTGAGACGTGCATTCAAGTATGCCTCTAATGACTCTAATGCGGGATGAATATGGGGTATGTACCCAATCCAATGTAGCCCAATGTAGCTGGATTCCTGGATATATGGAGGGTGTTTCATGGTGTGTACCAGTTCAATATGGGCCCGTTCAACTCGCCAGTAGATCTTTTTTGCACCATGTCGTTGCAGGGCGTTATCGCTTCCCTGGAGGATCATGTGGAGACCTCAAGGAGTCCCTGCGGGTTTCCCCCTGCCATAAACCTACCACATCATGACTGGGGATGATTTTTTTTGCACCACAAATAGTGATGACATTCATAGTGATGACTTGGGGATGGTGCCAATGGCAGGGTGAATCCCACTTTTTGGGCTATTTTTGGAGCTGAGCATGCTGACTTGATCTCAGTATATCTCAGTCATAAGCAACTTCTCGCAGCGGCACCGGCTGCCAAGGTTGCGCCTGTGTCACATTTGGCTGCAGGGAGCCCTGGTCGGTCCAAAGCAGAGAGGTAGAATTTGTCATGGTTTGATGAGTTTTTCTCATAATATAGTATAAGTTTCGATGAAATCATAACGTTTCATAACAATCTGGGTCTCTGGAGCGTGATGCCCGTGATGCCAATGTCAGATTTGTTGGTTGATGCGTGGCACCATGTCGTTGCACCAGGTGAACAGTACCTGTTTGGTGTCGTGTGATGCGTCTGGAGAGTCCCGACCTCGATACAGGAAGGCTGAGTCCAGGCTGAGATTGAAAGAGGCACTATGACAATCACTTAAATATACTTAAATGATGAAATGACATGAAATGACACTGAATTGATTTTTGCATCTTTTTGCCACTTGTGAAGCCGCAAACCCAAGACAGGATAGGCATGGATAGACATCCACTGGTAAAGTGTGGGTGTGACTGGCTATGGGAAGTTTTTTTTCTTCCTCATCTTCCCGTACAAGTCATAAAAATATATAGACGTTGCATGTTTGGGAACGGATCAGAACTACCGAACCCCGCTAAAACCGTCCAAGACATTACAGAGAACAAACCATTTGGGGTTTCTTGGTGGTTCTAAATCTTTGAGCGATTGGCCCAATTGGCCATACCCACATAAAGACCAACATCACATACATGAATTTGTGCAACCAGTCCTACAAAGGTGCAGACTATGGCAGAAGAACAGGCTGCCCTGGGTGAAACAAAGGAGGTGTCCCAGGCAATTCGGAGTTTTCTGCTACAGTACTAGTCACTTGAACGTTGATGTAGAGCGGCAAAACGGCAAAATGTATAGTTGAGGGGTAGCCCAGTCAGATTGAGATATTTTATGATTAACTTTCGACCCAAAAATCAGCATAGCATGTTTGAGAAGTAAATATAGAATAGATAGAATGTACCATGAGATGTGGACTGTACCATGTATAAAATGCGTTAATTCTATGTATATTCTATGTACACAAATAGTCAGTCATAGTCATCCATACTGACATGATATCATGTATTTATATGCAATATGTAGATAGGTAGATAGATAGATAGATAGGTAGGTAGGTAGGTAGGTAGGTGGGTAGATGGGTAGATGGGAAGATGGGTAGATAGGTAGATAGGTAGATAGATAGGTAGATAGGTAGGTAGGTAGATAGGTAGATAGGTAGATAGGTAGCTAGGTTGCTAGGTGGGTATATACAATAGAGATACACGTTGTTTGATAGGGAGTTTGACATGTTTGCCCATGTAGTGGTGGTCTTAAGTACATCGACCCCTGCTCAGATCCAGGGTCTGAATCTCTGGCAGGGCGATGGCTTGCCGGGCGACTGCGCGTTTGCACAAGTCTGCATCTTAGCCATGGCCTTCGGTGGCAATGGCATGATATGCAGCGAATTCGGGCTGCCATCGCATCGGCATCAGCATATGTCTACGCACAGGGGAAAGGCAAAGCCTAGCACACAGGTACTGGTACTCTTGGAGGTATATTTGGGTATGGGTCAATACCTGTAGATACATTTTTAGTGGGATGAACATCCATTTACCAGCTATTTTGGGGTTCACTAGGTACCAGGGTTTTGACCCATCCCCATTTAATATGTCTAATAGTACAGAAGTCCAAGGTGTAAAGCATGCAGTGGATTCAAACAGATTCAACGCCGCATCAAACCAAGTCGAAATGTTTTTACTTTCCATCCCCTTGGCAAGGGGTCCAGTGGTGGACGTGGCAGTGGATCGGCACTTCGTCTACTCCCTTGGCGAGGTGGGACCCATGCTGACTTCCAGTGCTACGTAGGATTCCTGTTGCAGCGCAGGAATCCAACCTGCGGATTTGGTCGATGGAGTTGAAGGAAGTTGCCGTCATCCAAATCGACAGCATCGAGGCTGCCAAGCTGCGACTTGCAACGATTCAGGAAGATAAAGCAAGAAGTGAAAGAGATTGCAAGAGTCACACTTTCAAGAGCATGCTAAGGCAACAGAAAGGAACATGGAGACTTTTCACGTACTTCTGTGTATACGCGTGGAAGAACAGAAAGGGCACCAACACGCACAATTTACATGCAGTATAACGCGGAACGTGGGGAATTCTCCAAATGTTTGGCCTATATCTTGATATATTTTGATGATTTGTGTTGATTTTAGTCCATTACGGTTGCATCCACTAGGCTCATGGCGTTTCGGAATCCATAGGAATCCCATTCGCCAATGACGTCAGGCATCTTGTCTCATGGGCTCCTTTGATGCCCCACTGCCACTTCTCAGCGTTCCAAGTCAGGTTCGCTTGAGATTTCCTGGCGATGCGGCTGGGTTAAAGTTTGGGAACCAAAAAGAATTTCAACATTGTGCGACCGTGGCATCAACATATTTCATGATGTCTATTAACATGTCAAGATATGCTTTGCATATAATGTGTGTATCCTGAAAACATATATTCATGCGTCATGCATGTAATCTTCCAGCATTCAACATTTAAGCTTCGAAGACCAAAGATTATCAGCGGGTAACAGTCTTTCTAAAAGCAAAAAGGACATCTTTGTATTGGTTGGATTCGGACATCCAAAGACGTCCACCAGTTGGTATTTGAGGCTTTCCTGTTCCTGCTTAGCAAATTGTCCATCATTTGGCAAGACAGGATGAGGTTCCCAGCACCCCAAATTGGCAACATAGTTATCCAGGTCTCAAAACCCAAAGCTTTGTCCCTCAGAACGAACAGAATCCACGCCTTCAAAATATTGCGCAGACATGTGCACAAGGGGCCATTTGCCTCATCCTCTCAATGTAGGCATTGTCTGTCTCAATCTTCTGCAATGGGTGTGGAAGAGTGATCCCACATTGACTTCAGTAGTTCTGAAGCCCTTCCCAATTTTTGGACATACCCAGCCTGGTTTACCCCCGGCTCCTTAACTCTTCAGGCAAACCCCAACGAGAAGGACACAGCCTCGCCTGTCCCTTACAGCCTCGTTCTGTTTTGAATCCCGCCCCATCAGTGTCCTCATGATCCTCATGGTCTCAGCAAAGGTCCATTCAGTTTTCTCGACTTTCAGCCTTGAAACGACCTGTGTCAAGATGGTCGGGCGGACAGGCGCTTCCAACTCCAACTCGGTTCCCTGCCACTTTGTCCGCCATGTTACAGCTGATTGACCCATCATTAGTTCCCAGTGGTTCGTTCAAAATGATTCAAAATGCATCAAAATGCAAGCCTCAAATCTCTGATTCCCATTGGCTCCCGTTGGCTACCATTGTTTCCTTTCCCATTGCTGTTTGTTCCTGCACACAGGCAGCTTCAGGAAGAGGCACCACCAGCACGCCGCGCGGCTTGCTTTTCGTTGGTGTCTCAGAATCTCAGTTGATGCGCTTTGCAGATTGGCACATATTGGCGCCAGCCTCAACAACCCCAAGGTTGCTGCCACAATGTCCAAAGGTCAGTCTGCTGTTGGCTCCTCAGCGGAAGATTTGCACCGCCGGGCCTGGACACCTGGATGCACCAGGCCGGTGAAAATGCTGGCGTGCTGATGGACTGCACAGGGCGAGATCAGCAGCTGGCGAATGGGATCCATGCAGATGTCTTTCGTGCACTTTGAATGGGAGAAGTGGGTGAGCAATTTATGATGATTTATGCCTTTTGAAACATTTGAACTAATAACTTCTCGGCAGGAATGGAGCATTGGGTCAACATCTTGTTGCCAGAACCTTTGCTGCACTGGGTCGCCCTTGCCATTCGATCTATTGCCGCAATGGCATGCCAGGGCACATCGATGGTCACCGATGATCCATGTTGGTACACATTGGTACATATTGGTACACCGTACGGCTGCTGACTAGGAGTGCTGTCATTGCCCATGTCCAAGCCCCAGAGTTTGAGCTTCCGGAGTGCTGGACAACCTTCGAGATTTATCAGCTTGTAAGGCTGGTGTTTATTCCAATAGGTGTTCCATGTGGAATGTTAACACGTAGTTTCTTGTGCACAAATGCGGACAGCAGGCACGAGGAAGCTTTGCCATGTGATGATTGAGAGAACAAAGTGAAAGTGAAAACACATGTCATGCAATGCTGCAAATCTGTTCAATGGGCTGAGCTGGGCTGGGCATCAATCAGCAGAAGGAGTTACAGTAGGTAGGTCACAAATCGTAAATCAATCCAAGCCCAAGTAGGCCCAACAGTGCAGTACAACTTGGAACTGATTGAGATTGATTGATGTCTTTTCATTGTACCTATAGCATCCTATAGCCATCATCCATGCATGTATATATATATATATATAGCATTTTCTCACAGCCCAGGATGTGCCAATCGCGCAGCAACCTTGGCCTCTGTTTCTGTCATATTCACTAAAGCATTCTCGTGGAAGGCTGTGGTTGTTGCCGACCATTTGAGGTCTATCGCTTATGGCCCCTGCGACAATGGCCCGCTCATCACTTGTGATGTCACTGGACTGTGCCGTATTTGGGATTGTTCCCCAAGGCGTGCCATTGGGCGTCGGTTTAGCCACTGGGTTACCTTGTTGAATTGTGATGCCAATCTCCTCTAACAGCCTCGCTTCTTGAGCTTTCGGGGAGGCCAGATTTCATTCCTTTTGGACACATTTGTCAATAAAACAGCTGTACTATGTTGTAATTGATGATTGTTATAGCCCCATAATATCAGTAGAACTGATGGTTACTGTAAATCCCAATAAACCATCCCCAAAATCACCTCTCCAATCAACATTGTGAGCCAGGCTGTGGTGCTCACAGCAAATCGAAGCCTCACCAGGCGCAGCTCTTTGAAAAGCTCCTTTCTTAAAATGGGGAATTCCCCAAAAACCATGGGTTTTCAAAAAAAAACGGACCAATGACTTGGGGGTACTGGCTTTGGAAACCTCCAAAGATGTGGAAATCCCTTTCTAAACCATGGTTTCTGCGGGATGTTTAATATTAGGTGGAAAATGTGGAAGGGAGTACTCACCAATTTGAAATGGATGATGGGTGAATCATTGTAAAAAAATGTTGTTAATTTAAGGAGACATATGAGACCTCACCAACTATGGGATCTACAAACAGGTAATGTAAGCAAACTTCGCTCAGGCGCTCAAAACTCGCAATCGCTCGCCAAAGTTAGCGTGGCGTCGGACGGGAGATTCACTTTGCCTTGATGTCTTCACGAGATGTTCCAATATGTGACACAAAAATACACAAAATGGGTTGGCTGATTCAGCCAGTGCGCAGTCTCCTGCAGACTCTGCATTTTACAGTTTGTCAACATCATGTCACATTGCATTAGTAGCCTTGAGAAGGTCTGTTCTTGTGGAGCGCATGAGACGAGGATCCTACGAACTCCTCCCTCTACTCTGTCGCAGGAGAAAAGAGGTCCGGAGTCACCGGGGTACTTGACGTGAAATGATGTGAGAGTATACTAAAGTATGTCATTAAAGTTGCTGATGAAACTTGGAGGGTCCATCACACGTCCTGAACAAGTCACAATTTGATGGTCCCCACAGCTGATACTGTCCTTGCTGACCAGGCTCCTAGTTTGGTGCCAGAGGCCAGTTGCGATGCACAGCAAAACTCATGACCGTCGCCACAATTATCAAGACGTGTCTTGCTGGTTTTGCCCGCGAGTTCGTACGGTTCATCACAAATCTGAAAAGCGTTCTAAAATGTTCTAAAGACATACACTCAACCTGTATCTATTTCCAAAGACAGTTTTTCCCCATATTTCTCTATATATTTAATTCATTGTAATTCTCCAAAAATGTCCAACTTTCGAAAGCTGCTTTCAGGAGTGCCAACATCGCTCCAATCGGCTCCCCTTGAGCCGTTTGTCGACATTTGTCATTGCTTCAAAAGACACGATGCTCCACTTTGCCACTGTTTGCCAGGAGGTTAAAAAATGATGAAACCATGATGAAACTATGATGAAACCATGATGAAACTCATCTTAAGCAGCTAAATCCTTTTGCCAAAACTGGGATAGGGCCCTCAACTATTGTTTTCCGTGCTCGAGAGACAAAGAACATGATCCGTGAACTGGTAGATTTAAGTCGCCAACTTTTGGGAAAACCATTCAATGACCTTTCTTGGACAAAGACCGTGCAGAGAAATGTGGAGATTGGATGAGAATGCCAATTTTGATTTTGTATCCACAGACTGCAGCCATTGGCCCTTGGGGGGCGTTTCTTTCACTTCGAGTCATTTGATCTCGCAGTGCAGTCGCAATGGTGGACATGCGTTTGCTTCTGAGTCTTCTTGCGCACAAGCACCAGACACGTGCACTTAGCAGTTACGTACATTTGCCACATATGGCGTCAAACGATGCTTCAGAATGAAGACAAAATGAGTCCGAAGATATCATGATAGCACCCTCAGACCAAGCAGCTGGATGCCAAAGAGGCTTGGGCGATGACTTCAACCCACCTCCTCAGGTGAAAATATTCTGTGGACGCAGCGCATTGAGAAGGAGGCAGGGCCAGGTAATGGCTATGGCATGGTGTTACTGTAGTATTTTGGTTTGCGAAGTGCTCTTTGAGCAGGCAAGCATGCTGATGGAATGTAGAATGTAGATGAATGATGATGAATGTAGAAGTTTGAGACTTTTTTACATGGACTTAGAGGACAAGCGAAAAGATTGAACGGGACTTGATGTTGCGATTCTTTGGTTGTGCAGCAGGAACGTGTCTTCATCAATGGCGCAAGAATCCGAGCCTGAAACTTGGTTCACAGACTTGAGCCCAGAAGATTGACAACCAGATGTGCTGAGATTCAACGTTGGGGACAACGATCTCACCAAGTTGAAGGGGTAGCTTGTTGACATCACCTTCGAGTATTGTCATTAATGTGGATAAAACAACGTCATGATTACCATCCCTCAGTCATCACCATTTTGATAGGTGGTATAAACATGTCTAAACCATTCCCAAATGGGTGGTTTATGGCATTGGTTTACCCACAATCCAATATCAATCCATGTTAATCCCAACTGTGTGTCACCCGACCCAGTCCCAGAACTTGAGTACGAGTAACATCGCAGGAGGAGATCGAGCGACAAAGAGCCAAGGACTGCCATACAATCATTTAAAACCATTTTGTTTGCCCCCCTTCTGCTATTTTCTGCTTGAGAAACTGTATTATCTGTGTATATATATAATTTAATATATATATATATATATGTATATTTGTATCATCTTGAATTCTCCAAACTTCAGATCCCAAAACTGTGGGACTTGTTAAGACTACTGGTACCCAATATTTGTTCAGCAGGCAAAGTGTGACACTGGCGTTCTGCGTTTTGAGGAGGCCCGAAAGCATCGGCATTCCCGAAATCGGTCCGGGACTGAGTCGAAGTTGCTGGAGTTGTTGGTGTAGATTCTCTGGCGCGGAAAATGCCATGTGTTTCAGGTCAATTTTGTTCGAATAGACACAATACCATTTAGCTTACTGTAATTAACTCATTGATTATCAATTATCACGACTTAATTTGAATATATTTGAATCATGTCAATTCGTCAGGCGAAATGGTTTGGTGGTTCTACACCCATCCTTGCACATGTTCGGATCCAGGGGAGCTTCCAGTAGATGTTCGGAATCTTCAAGTCCATTGTCTCTCGCAGGCGGTACGGGTTTAGCAGCAGAAAGTAGAAAGAATGTCAGACCGAAAGTCAGCCAATCCTGGCACAAAGATCACAAAGGGCCTTCCTAATTTCGATTCACAAACTCATATATTTCCTAATATATCTGTATAATTCTGGGTAGTTCTGGCATTTGCTTGCGCCTGGGTTTCATAATTTTCATAGCACTCATTGGTGCAGCGAAGTCACCAAAAAATTGCGAAACGGCGATCCTGCAATCCAGGCAGCTCTAGCGTGTGCAGCTCCATGCGGAGCACTGGGAACTTCCGGAATGTTTGGTGGAAAGAAGGATGGAAAGAAGGGTGGAAAGTTGCCTGTTGAATGCTGTTGAGTGATGTCGAGTTTGAATGTATTGACTCCTGAACAGAACGTGTCGGAACCTGTTGGACCATGTTGGAAATATGTGAGGATCCACTTCAACCGATCACCTGCCAGGGCAATGCAGAAGTCTTCTTCAGAGGCCAAGATGATTTGCTGCTATCCACTGTCTCACCATGTCCCACCAAAGATAGGCATTGATCAATATCCAGGTTGTTGCACTGGATTCTGGGATGGATTTCAAATGACCATTTTCCCCATCAAGATGTCCAAAAAAGGGGGTGTATAACCTCCATTTTCAGATACACCCACATCATATTGAGTTGGTTACAGTTGGTTATATATATAATCTACCCCGCCCACATAGAATATGGAATTGAAATTTTGGCTTCCCAGGGCATCCCCATAATTGAACTTGAAACAGGATACTTAGAATACAGTTGACGTCAAAAAACCTATACTTAGAATATCGTTGGGCCATATAAATTCTTTCACTTTTCCAGACGAATTCGTCATTTTTCCATAGAAATTCTTCACTTTTCTTTATAAATCCTTCACGTTTCCATACAAATTCTTCACTTTTCCATATTTTTGCCACACAAATTCTTTCACTTGTTCAGTCAAATTCATCATTTTTCCATATATATATATATCTTAATAAATCCTTCACATTTCTATACAAATTCTTCACTTTTCCATATTTGTTCCATATAAATTCTTTCATGTTTCCAGACAAATTCATTATTTTTCCATATAAATTGTTCACTTTCCTATAACAATTCTGGACGTTTCCAGCGAAACTAGTTAACCATCTTTTTTTAGGAACACCAACTAATTCCATTAGTTTTCATTGCAAACTAGTTTTTTTTCATAGTTCTCCGACACCGTTCGTGGGGGGTACCCTTCGGTGAGCTTGAAAAACTCATTTTTTTAATACAATATGAAAAGAAATTGATCATTTCGGGGAACCTGTTTTTTTGTTGAAACGTTCCAGTTTAGGAACTTCAGATATCCAGGATTGCTGCTCCCCAAAGGGAATTACGTATATAATAATCATACATGAAGGGGACCTATTCCTTGCAGAACTACATACATAGAATATAGGTACCCAGTGAAAAATATTCATCATTTTTTTAAGGAACACCACCTAATTCCATTGGTTTTTATTGCAAAATAGTTTTTTTTTCATAGTTCTACGACGCCGGTCGTGGGGGGTACCCCTCGGTGAGCCTGAAAAATTCATTTTTTTAATACAATATTAAAAGAAATTGATCATTTCGGGGACCGGTTTTTTTGTTGAAACGTTCTATTTTAGGAACTTCAAACATCCAGGGTTGCTACTCCCCAAAGGGAAGTACGTATATCATATACACCCTTTTGTATGGAAGAGACCAAATTCCTTTCAGAACTACATACATAGAATAGAGGTCCCCGGTGAAAATATTCATTCATTTTATTGGTTTTCATTGCCAAAATATGTTTTTTGTCATAGTTCCCCGACACCGGTCGTGGGGGATACCCTTCGGTGAGCTTGAAAAACTCATTTTTTCATACAATATGAAAAGAAATTGATCATTTCGGGGGACCTTTGTTTTGTTGAAACGTTCCAGTTTGGGAACTTCAGATATCCAGGATTGCTGCTACCCAAAGGGAATTACGTATATAATAATTATACATGAAGGGGACCCTATTGCTTCCAAAACTACATACATAGAATATAGGTACCCAGTGAAAAATATTCATCATTTTTTTAAGGAACACCACCTAATTCCATTGGTTTTTATTGCAAAATAGTTTTTTTTCATAGTTCTACGACGCCGGTCGTGGGGGGTACCCCTCGGTGAGCCTGAAAAATTCATTTTTTTAATACAATATTAAAAGAAATTGATCATTTCGGGGACCGGTTTTTTTGTTGAAACGTTCTATTTTAGGAACTTCAAACATCCAGGGTTGCTACTCCCCAAAGGGAATTACGTATATCCTATACACCCTGTTGTATGGAAGAGACCAAATTCCTTTCAGAACTACATACATAGAATATAGGTCCCCGGTGAAAATATTCATTCATTTTATTGGTTTTCATTGCAAACATACGTTTTTTGTCATAGTTCCCCGACACCGGTCGTGGGGGATACCCTTCGGTGAGCTTGAAAAACTCACTTTTTTAAATACAATATAAAAAGAAATTGATCATTTCGGGGGAGCTGTTTTTTTGTTGAAACGTTCTAGTTTGGGAACTTCAGATATCCAGGATTGCTGCTACCCAAAGGGAATTACGTATATAATAATTATACATGAAGGGGACCCTATTGCTTGCAAAACTACATACATAGAATATAGGTCCCCAGTGAAAATATTCATCATTTTTTTAAGGAATGCCACCTAATTCCATTAGTTTTCATTGCAAACTAGTTTTTTTTTCATAGTTCTCCGACACCGTTCGTGGGGGGTACCCTTCGGTGAGCTTGAAAAACTCATTTTTTTTTTATACAATATGAAAAGGAATTGATCATTTCGGGGGACCTGTTTTTTATTGAAACGTTCCAGTTTAGGAACTTCAGATTTCCAGGATTGCTTCTACCCAAAGGGAATTATGTATAAAATAATTATACATGAAGGGGACCCTATTCCGTGCAAAATTACATACATAGAATATAAGTTCCCAATGAAAATATTCATCATTTTTTGAAGGAATGCCACCTAAGTCCATTGGTTTTCATTGCAAAATAGTTTTTTCATAGTTCTCCGACACCGGTCGTGGGGGGTACCCTTCGGTGAGCTTGAAAAACTCATTTTTTTTTTTAATACAATATAAAAAGAAATTGATCATGTCGGGGGAGCTGTTTTTTTTTTGAAACGTTCCAGTTTACGGACTTCAGACATTCAGGGTTGCTACTCC